TCCCCTCCAATCAATCCAAACAAAAGATCATTAAAATCTCTTCCCTCCCTTCTCCTGCCTCCCCTCTCCTTTGTAGCCCTTCCCTTTCTCTTGATTAAAATTCCTCCCATCTCTTTCCACCCGTAAAGCCAAACACAGCATAAAAGTACTCTGCGGTAGTCACCAAAAATTGCTTAACATCTTTAAAGTAAATTGGAATTTGGGGCGCTAACTTGTGCCCAGAGGATTTGACGAGAGCACGTTTTTACAGCAGCCTCACGGGCAATCGACAGCGTACATTAATCACCCTCACCTTCACGAAACTTATGGCAGCAAGTAATCCAAACTAACCATTTCGCTGACAAGTTCAACGCATAAAAGATTGGCTTGCTATTAACAAGTTGGCCTTTTCTTCTCAATTTCCAGCTCATTCAAGCTAGCTTTTCAATGTTTTTTGCCCCCGAAAGTGATAGGGCACTCTAGCAATCAACAAGTGGCCTGTCCTTTTATTTTGTCTACTTTTAAAACATGATATGAGAAATTTTTACAGTAAAAAGTTTTAAGGGATTCGGTATATTATTTTTCATTTGTTTACGTCACTCTTAAGAGATAGGTATATTTGTAAATTGAAGAAACAAAAGCTTAATTATATCCAGGAAAAATTAATCTCTCTCGTTCTTATAATTTTTTACTCGACTGTGACTCAATTATTAAACTTTCACTCAATGCAAAAAATATTTTATAGTTTTAACTCAATTAAATCTTGGATTCAGAACTTTAACTTTATGCAACTTATTTTCTATGTAGCTTTAATTAATCATTTAAAATCATAGTATCTATGTTTCATGAAATATATGATTTGATTTTCTAAAATATAGGGACTAGTGCAAATCCTTTAAACAGCTAAATTATAAGAACCGAATTAGATCAGATCAAGATTTAATAATTAAGTTACAACCGAATTAAAACTATAAAAACTAAATTACAGCGAGGTGAGGTTTAGAATAGAATTACAAACAACTCACAACTATGAGAATCTCAGCGCAAATTGCGAGGACACTTTTGGACTGGCATGAATTATTGAGGTCATGAGGATTGGGAGCAAGGCGGTGGAGTGTGACTACCGGGCTGGTCAGTGTAAGGGTGGGCCTCAATTAATGAGGCCCCACTGATTAAAAGCTCTTGCCCTCGCAGTCGTTCTAGACTCATCCCAATTGCCAAACTGATCGATAAAGACGCCACTATTTCAATTCTTGCATGCCAGGGCGAAACTTTTGGTTGACTTTTCAGTCAACAGCGATGAATGCCTATCTTCTTCGTCGCAGCCCAGAGCGTCTTTTGCATCTATTAATGTAAAGCGTCTTCGAAAAGAACGGAGATAATTAAGCAAATTGTCGTTATCTGCCACTACCATTCATGCATATGATATGAATACTAATTAATTAGCGACGGGGTCATCGGATAAGCTTTTATGAGAGGAAAAGATGGCAAGAGAGGCAACCCAGTTCGTAGTTTTAAATAATTAAAGCCGCATGATCTTTGTCAATGAACCACAGATCAATTTCAACACAAAGGATAGCCCAAGATCTCACATAACAGATACATTATTATTTGCAAGTGATTATTACTGTATATGACTTGTTTTCAGATTTTACGTTAACGTGAGCTAAGTGGAAAAATAATAACCCATAAGCGGTTGTTTTGATTCGAGTTGGCTGCAAGTGTGTGGAGCGATCTGAGGAAGAGAAATGTAAAACAGTAAAAGCAGGAAGGACGTGGAAGGCGACGAGAGGCTATCAGGGCCAAAATAATTGAGGCATGGATGAAACACACAGCTAGCGTCACCTCAAGGGGCTGTGGAACTGGAGGTAACATATACTGAATATTAGACGATGGAGGGTGACTTAGTATTAATCCTGCTACATTACTTTATATTACCTCCGATCTTATTTATAAGATCTTGTTTACAATATACTCCTCCGGTCCTTATTATAAGACCCAATTTGACTTTTTATTTGGTTCTAATTATAAGACCCAATCCATTTTGTCTCTTATATTTATGCATTTTTTTCCAAGATAATCCTTCTAATAATGATAGTTTTAACCAATATACTTAATTAGCAAGGATATTTTAGGAATGACAACACTTATTTATTATAAATAACCAACTTAACTTACTTCCTTAATTTCTTTAAATAAGTCAATTGGGTCTTATAATTAGGACCGGAGGAGTAATAAGTTTCTAGGAACTCTAGGCATGGGCATAGACTGAGTCAATGGCTGCTTGTTGGTGCTGGACACACAAGTCTTTTCAAATGGTGCCGACATGCAGGTACTACATCCATATTCCACACGTTTTCTTCTTGTCCTTTTCCCTCTTTTACTTTCACATGAGCAATCAGCGAGCCTCATGATCCCATCATTTCTCCATGTTGACGTGTCATCTCTACTTTTACTTTCACACCCATGTTTTTAACAACAACAATAATTGATGTTATCTTGACTTTTTAAAATAATTGAAATCAGGTTCTTTTATGAAACATCTCCTTAAAAGGAATCCAAACCCTGCATACATCGTTGTTATTGTGGAGCCTAGGATGTCTGGACTTGAGATTTCGACCACATTGTCGCTTTTTAAGTTTTTACTCTAGTCTCTCGCAACGAGAACAATCACAACGAAAAACACCAAAACAAGTACTATAGTATTTCCCTTCAAATTGGGGCAGTACTTTTCTATAATATCAGGCGGTTTCAAAATAATTTATTTTTGTATTATGTAGGATATATAAATAGGGGAGATAGATAATAACTATGCCAGCTGTGAATGCCTGCAACGTCACGAGGGAGATCTAAATATTGACTAATGACATCAACGATAATGATATATTAGTACTTCGGATTCTATTTATAAGTTTTAAATTTAAAAAGAGATACAATCCATTTTATAATCTTTAATTTGGTGTTTCTCTTAATATTTAATGTAATTTTTTTAATTTTGTTCTTAGTTATTTATTCTTGCTCACTGAAATAATCTTTCTTATGTTTTTTTACACATTCTTTTTTATTATTTTTCTTATTTATTACAAAAACATATTTAAAAATAAAAATATATTTCTTTTTTATCATATTTATTACTTTTAATTAATTTTAACTACTTGTTTATTATCCATATTTAGGAGAGGTGTATATAAATATATAACAAAAATCATAACAAGTTATAAAAAAATTAAAAATCACTCATGACTATTTCATAAAAATGTGTAGCATATATATAATTTTTTTTTTGGGGGGGGTTTTCTCTACGAAGGTGAGGCAAATACTACAACTAAGAATCATTTAAGGATCTAAGAATGGACAAGGGATCGATGGGTGTGTCCACGTAGGGGATGCGCGAGAATCTGCCACGTCCGTTAGTCGTCAGCGCGCGTATTTACCTCACACTCACTGTTCGGAACAAAGCCTCTCATGCAATTATTAATTGTTTGATAGGACCTGTGGGTGATGCTTGACCAATTCAACTCTGAATATGTTATTAAAAAAAAAACTCTAAATATCAAAAGCTGACGTCTCTTTCTCCAGCTAAATTTTTTAGTAAAATTAATTTATTCCGATAACCAACCTTGTTTACACATCCAAACGTTCACTACAAAATCATCTCCTTTTATAAATCATTCCGGTTGTGAATATAAAACTTAATTAATTAATTACAAAAATTAAAATTTTGGTTAAATGAACTACTTAAAATCAAAGAAAGCATGATAAAAATTACCTTTATCCACTATTTTTCTCTACAATTAAGATAATGGTGAAAGACAAGATGAACAACCGATTTTCCTGTAGGTTTAGCTCAGTCCAAAATAATCATGAAATCGCATATGATCCCTTTTCAATTTTTTTTTTTAAATAATCGGATCAGATTTGCTAGCACAACTTGATGGGTTTTACTCACACTGCTCAGAAGAGCTGCCTATTGACAGTGACACCGTATTAAATGGCTTGCTTATACACTGATCATGCCGATCCCGTTACGTCGCACGTTGAAAGTAAATTAATACACCTTAATTCCTAATATAAGAATTATTTGGGAATGAGATTTGATCCTGAGCATAAAATCTCTGAACAATTTGTCTCTCATATTTTTTCAAAATATATTTATTGACTGTAAAAAGTTTTTATTAGAAGATAATTCAATCATTCAATGCATGTGATTGAAGAAGATAATTTTAGAGAGACTAACATATATTTGTGACAAATAACAAAATTAAATATTTTTTTAATATTCTCAAATTAGTTATTTAATTTCTGTATTAAGTATAGAGGTAATAAATTGCAACCATGTATGAGACGGGGATCATCACTTGTGATTACAAATATATGAACCTTTTGGTTACGTTTGGATACGAAGTATTAAAAATAAAAAGTAAAGATTAGGATTGAGAAAAATCATTAAAGAATATTTAGTATGAATAATTTCTCGTTATATAAGATTAGCCAATCCTATGTAAGGGATTGGGGCATATCACATCTTCCAAGACTTAATAACCTATATAAATAAGAATTTGGTTGTTGATAGAGTATAATAACGTTGTATGATCCATGTCACCAACCTCACTTGGTAAAATAAAGCTTGTTATTGCTGTGATTACAAATGTTATGTTAAGTATGTGTTTGGTTTTATAAAAAATTATCAGAACCAAATTTAAATAGAAGCAGCCATAATAGTGCAAACATTTTTGGTTTTTAAAAGAAACTGTAGGTTACAAAAGTTAATTTGGATAATAGTCGTGGCCTTATGAAAGTAAGAAATTTTCACCTATTCAAAAGTACTTTCTAAATAATTTTTAACCAAACGTTTTAAATTTTTTTTAAAAAAGGTGATCTGATATCCTTTTTTTATACACCATGATACTATGATTTTGCTGAAAAACCGTTATGATTTTGAAGTATTTTATACGTGCAGTTCTTGAGGTGGGAGAAGATAATATAGTTTTATCAACTCTGGCCTTAAAGTAAGGTATTCGCTTAATACTAGAAATGAAGACATTCATATGCATCCATAAGTTGGACCGAGTTATAGGCTGCTGTTCTGATTTTTGTCTGTACTGAACCATGACGATTCCATAGTCGTTATTCGGAAATTCTACGCGGAAAAGCGGTTTGATGCTGAGTGAAGAGACAATTCCATAGTCGTTATTTGATACCTGCAGCCTCAAGCACAATCACCGAAAGAAAGTTCAAACTTCGGTTGATTGTCTAATTCTGCGAAATTTCTCGGAGAATCAGACAGTTTACAGTTGATAAATCACAGTATATCACTGGACTCTCACCAGTAAGCCATAACGCGCCTTCCTTCTGCCTCAAACGAACTGAGAGGAACAGAGTCTCTTTACAAGCCGGCAAGAAGCAAAAGCCAGAGTCACCATAACTACGCCACTACTTTCAAAGAGCCTGAAGGGATAGCCAGCACTGTTCTTCACCACCTCCCAAGCTCATTAATAAGTCCGGTGAGTTTGAAAATGACCCTCTCACACTCACTCAGTACTAGTACTTCAGAGGCCTTACGGCGGTTGGCCACACCCACTCCCATCCCTCTCATTAATGTTCTTCCCACCCCTTCTCTGTTTATAGGGCTTAAAAGAGTCAGACATCGCTTTAATTATAGTTTCCTACCTCTTCAAATATCGTAGCTGATGTCTATAAATATTTTTTTAAAATCTTTCTCGAAAAATAAATTCTTTCCTTGGATTGGATCAGAGTTTAGAAGGGGCAGCAGAGCATCATCAATGCAGAATCAGAGCTAGCGATTGGCTGTGAGAATTTAAATAGCTCCGAAATTAGTATGATTTCTCTCATTAGTCTTTCCTGGGATATATGCTAAGTTTGGCCAATTTATATTAACAGTTGCAAATGCATACAGACGTTAACTTCGCCAACAGGTCAAGTGGCTGCGGAGGTAGAAGATGAAACTCCCTGAAGCAACAAGAAGATAATTAAACGAAGCCTCAGTTTCTCAAACATAGCCATGGAATTACGGCAAGTATTACTGAAGACAGCTTTAGCCTTGCTCTTTATTCAGTTTGGTCTAGCTCGACAAATTTCTTCCAGCTTCGGAACCGAAAGGCTCGCGCTGCGTCAGCTTCGCTCGTCGTTGGGGATTCGTAGCAAGTACTGGCCCATAAAAGCGGAACCGTGCAGGAACTGGACCGGGGTTCGGTGCCAGAACGGGCGAGTCGTTGGGATAAGCTTATCCGGTTTAAGACGAACCCGATTCGGGCGTCTCCATCCACGTTTCGCGGTGGATTCTCTTGCCAACTTCACACTCTTAGAGTCATTCGAAGCTTCTGGGTTCTTGCTCAATGGGTCTATTCCTGACTGGTTCGGACAGCGCCTGAGAACACTACAAAGGCTCGATCTAAGCTCTTGCTCACTCACGGGTCTCATTCCTCCGTCTCTGGGGAATTTGAATGGGCTGAAGTTTCTGATTCTGGCGGATAATAGTCTCACCGGGAGAATGTCTTCCACATTGGGACAATTATCCAGTTTATCGGTTCTGAATCTCTCAGGAAATTCGCTCACTGGATTAATGCCCAACTCTTTCTCGTCTCTGGTCAATCTCACAAGCCTTGACCTCTCTTCTAATTTTTTATCTGGTTCCGTTCCGGCCTATCTTGGTAATCTTAATAGGCTTCAGCTTTTGAATCTTTCCGACAATGGCTTCACTGCCCCGCTACCTTACCAACTGCGTAATCTTTCTCAGTTAGTTCAGCTTGATCTAAGCAAGAATTCTTTGTCTGGGTCGTTGCGCGGTGATTTGTTTTCTCAACTTACTTCCCTACAAAGTCTATCTCTGGGTAGGAATGCCTTTGATGGCTCTCTTCCTCCCGCATTGTGGTCAATGAGGCACCTGTCCGTCCTTGATGTATCCAGCAACAGCCTTACTGGCACTCTGCCGAAGCTTGTCCCAAATGTTAGTTCTACCGGTGCTATCTTCAACCTCTCAAACAATTTATTCTATGGATATCTTAATACTTCGTTTACGAAATTTAGGATTATTGATTTGTCCAGTAATTATTTCCAAGGCAAGGTGCCTGATCATGGCTTAAGTAATATTACTCTTGATACAAATTGCCTTATAATGGGTCCGAAACAAAGGAATTCCAGAGATTGTACGCAGTTTTATGCCAAGAGAAACCTAATCTTTATTGGTGCTCAAGAACCAGCAGCGTCGCCTTCGGCCGAAGCAGAGTCCAGGAAAAACAAACGAGTGATATTCATTTTGGCGGGCACGTTTGGTGGACTTGGGTTTATTGTGATTCTAGTATTGGTCTTAGTACTGCTTCTCGGAAAATGTGGTAATAGCACTGAAACTCAAAAAAGGGCAACAAATGAGGTATCCGTTCAAGAAGGGGAAAGTCCTGTGCCCCCAAAGAATCTTATGTTAGACAGCGGCATGGGAGAATCATTTAGTTATGAACAATTGCTCCATTTGACTGGTAATTTTGCTGAAGTTAATATCATCAAGCGTGGTCATTCCGGTGACATTTTCAGGGGAATCCTGGAAGGTGAAGTAAGTGTGGTTGTGAAAAGGGTAGATTTGAACTTAGTCAAGAGAGAATCATTCATGTTGGAATTGGAACTGCTAAGCAAGGCTTCTCATACAAGATTGGTGCCGCTACTGGGGCACTGCTTGGAGAATGAGAGTGAGAAATTTTTAGTTTACAAGTACATGCCAAATAGAGATTTGGCTACTTGCTTGCACAGAGTGAGTGGCTCAGACGATAAAGAACAGTCCCTGGATTGGATCACCAGATTGAAAATTGCAATAGGAGCTGCTGAAGGTCTACATTACCTGCATGATTGCCGCCCTCCTCTTGTCCATAGGTACTGCCACGTGTAATCTCTTACAGGGTATCGAGTATTTTATTATTCTCTCTTCATTATGATTGGCAAAATATGATTATGCCTTGTAATTAATTTTACTTTTGGTTTTTGAAGAGATGTCCAAGCAAGTAGTATACTTCTTGATGATAAATTTGAAGTCAGATTTGGAAGTTTGAGCGAGGTTACTGCCCAAGGAAGTCTTCACCGGCGTGTCGTCACAAGGTTATTTCGCAAGTCACGGTAAGTGTTCAATTCGTTAACAATGTCATATCGCATTTCACCTCAAAACAATGTCATATCACATGATTGTTAAGTATGGCGGCTTTATAAATATCGAATTTGAATGAACATTAAGTGGGAATGCCACAATGAGTTCTACACTTGTTGAAGCCTTGAATGGTTTGAACACTGATAAAAAAATCATGAGTTTTGGACGTACCTAAAGACTAGAATGATATGTTCGGAATAATATAAGTTTTTTTCCCACCTGCTGGAACTTGTTTGTGTGTAGGTGAAAATTATGTCGTCCTTGCCGTTTAACCCTTACGGTCTAATTTATTTATGCCAATGAAATTCAGCGTAGCTTGTTTAATTGATTAATGCAGTTTGCATGATTTGATAAATTTATATATTTAGTAATTAGTAATTCTGTCGAAATGCGGGCAATAGATTTGTTAATTCCTGTTAATTTAGTAACCTATATCTGTTGTTGGTGTTCAAACTACTTTATACTTCATTTTAATCATTTTGTTTTCTCTTTGTGACATGCAGATCTTTTGATCAAAACAATCCTGGTAAGTATTTTGTTTTAACTTCGCTAAGGTTGTCACTTTAGTTACATTCATGGCGCATCTAACTGCTCATCCACGAGAACACAATCTGCATGCTTACTTTGCCGAATCTAATTCAAAAGGAAACATGCACTTATTTGAATTTCAACCTAATATTCTCTCTTTGGTGTAAAATTATGAACAGGTTCGTCAACTGCAACATGTGCTGATGATGTATACTCTTTTGGGAAGGTCTTACTTGAGCTTGTTACCGGTAAGCCTGGAATTAGCGAGACAGATGACGCCAGCACCAGAGAGTGGATAGAGCAAACGTTGTCATACATAAGCACATATGACAAGGAACAGGTGACTAAAATAGTAGACCCATCTCTTATAGTTGATGAGGACCTATTGGAAGAGGTGTGGGCTATGGCAATTGTGGCCAGATCGTGCCTCAACCCAAAGCCTTATAAACGCCCTCCAATAGGGTATGTCCTAAAAGCACTGGAAAATCCATTGAAGATAGTGAGAGAAGAATATAACAGTAGCTCAGCTAGATTGAGAACAACTTCATCAAGGAGATCTTGGAGCACGGCATTCTTTGGGAGCTGGAGACAGAGCTCGTCAGAGGGTGCTACTGCAACTGCAAACAGAGAGGGTATTACTGCCAGTGGCTTTAAACAAACAGGAAGAGTAGGGTCTCAGAGTAGTGGTGGAAATGATCACTCTTCTTCCCACAAAAGGTTGTCTAGTGAAGTTTTCCCTGAACCATTGGAAATTCAAGAGGTGGAAACCGGAGACGCGAGATGAGCATTGAGGGAAAGATGGATTTGGTAATTGTTCTCTGAGTAGGTTTTCCGTGTATAGCTTGTTCTCCGGATCGCCGTTGTTTAGGCAATGCAATTCATGCTACTTATACAAAGGAACTCCTCACGCTATCAACCTCTTCTCGCTTCAAGAGTAACTATTTTTCCGCTAATAAATGACACTGCAACACAAATTTAGTTTTGAAAATTAACGATCTACAGCGACTTAATACCGGTACGGTTAAAAGAATCATCACGGGCCTGCTATTTTCCCCTTCTTCGGAAGCTAGTTCCTGTTCGAAACGTCATTCATTACAATTTGACAGGGTCACAACCCTAGACGGCGTAAAAGTGCGTTTGATTGGGATTTGGGAGTTTGAGGATGTGCTTAATTGTGATTTCTGAGTTTGTTACAAGTCATTTATCGGAATAAGTTCAATTAAAAAAAGGAAAAAGGAGTTGGGCGGTGGGAATTTACTAAAATAAAATTTAAAAAAAAAATGAAGGCAAACTACTGAACTTTCCATATTTTTTTTGGCCAAAATACAAATAACTCTCTTTAACTTTAGCTCTCTTACATACTATCTTTAAAATTTTAAAAATCAGACCATCAACTTTTATTGTTTGATATTTAATCCCTTACTGTTAAAATGACTGTTAAACTTAACAGAACAGATGCCACATCATATTATTAAAAATTATTTGGAAAATGATATGTAATTTTTATTATTGTATTAATTTTTTCTAAATTAAAACTCATAACTACACAAAGGGTGTTTTTGTAACTCTACCGATAATCATCCCTAATTCTAGTCTTGCCAGTGCCTGATCATTTTGTTTTTTCGGCCACCCCCATTCCCACCACGTCTTGATTTTAGCAAGGTTCTAAAATTGTAGGATATGAAAGAACACCCAAATGAGAATTGATTAATCCTAGGCATGGCGATGTGCACTCTCCCTCCACGCAAGCATTGATTTTGAAGACAACGAAGAATTAATCTCAGGCACCAAAAAGCAACCTAAGGGATATGGAAGAAAACTCAGCTCAAAAAATGGGGGGTATGGAAGAAAACTAAAAATATCGAGGTTCTAAAAATATCAATATTTGCTTTGTGGAAAGGCATTGGGTGGTGGATTTCTCATCTAACAGAATCTAGATCGCCAACCACAGACTCTAATAGGCAAGTGAGAGCCTTGAATGATGTATTTTTTTAACAAGAAAATTTGTCTTGTTTTTACTGTTTTAATACAACAGACAGTGAGGTATAAAAAATCATATTGGTTAGAATACCTTTACCAGGAAGAGTAACAACATAATGGTATCATAAAAGAAAACAATGCAATTTCACAACAACAAAAAATCTAGATTTAAAGGAAGAATTTGATGAAGATGATTTTTGAAATCAAGATGATGATTAGGAGATGAATGAAATGTTGCAAAACCGCGAGGACCATTGACTTGGGGAGGCTGAGAGAACTAGACAATTAGGTGAGAATAGGACTAGGGTTTTCATTAATTAAAATTACAAAAGTATACTTTAGTGTAATTATAAATTTTAAATTAGGATAAATTAATAAAATAATAAAAATTACAAGTCGTCTTTCAAATAATTTTAAATAATATAATATGGCATCTGTTCCATTAAGTTTAATGGTTATTTTAACAGCAAAAGGTTAAATATCAAACAATAAAAATTAAAGGTATGATTTTTAAACTTTTAAAGATGAGGCAGATTGTATGTAAGAAAGTTAGAGTTGGGGGGAGTTATTTATATTTTGGCTTTTTTTTTTGGGGGGGGGGGTGTGTTTGGTTTGGGGGTGCAAAGGATTAAAGGCCTCCTTTTAATTATTTCCATTTCACCATATGTAATCGGTATTCGTTTGACACAGTTTGACGCGCAAGTCCCAAATTCTGAAGTTCCTCGCAGTCGCAACGTCGGGACTGCACCTCATCTTCTAGCAATTGTTGGCCGTTTGTATATATATTTGCCCCCCCAAAAAAAAAAAGCAGATGTAATGCTGTACAACAGCTATAACTTTTTTTTTTTTTTTGGACCAGAAGTACAACAGCTATAACCAAGCCAGCTTTTACAAGCTCTAGCAGATTTTCAAACCCCAGCTATATGTTTACAAGCAAGGGGAGGGGAGAAGGCTTCAGCTTCCTAAGCCTCCATGTCCCGAGGCTCGTAAGCTACAATGTTAAATTCATGCGGCATAAAGTCCTCACTGGTTCTGTAGTACTTGTCTGGAGAGTACAATCCCAAGTTTGAAACATGGCTCGTATAAAGACAGGCAAATCTCTCAACCTGCAGAATGCTCATCAAGTCAACGACAAGGACTCTCATACACAGTTAAAAAAAAAATCAATTTAATCTCTTACTATCTGAACAATCATTTGAAAATTGTCCGTTCATTTAACACTATATCACACAGAATTGATATTTGATGGTGCAAGTTCGCCAAGTACCAACACATGCTTCATGCGTTGGCCTGACAGTTTAAGCATACCTTTGCCTGTAAGTGTTTTTCTTTAATTAGGATTATATCAAAACTCATGGCAAGAATGGTTTTCATGGGGAAAGTCGGCCTTTACCTGATGAGCAAAACGAGAGTTCTGATAACCGGTTTTCATAAGCTGCCCCCATACCTCATGGAACTGCAATGGCTCACCAAGAACGGTTGAGGTTTCTCATCTCAAAAAAGAGCCATTACAAAAATAACACCGCTGAATATATCGCCATACTATACCATACTGCGAGAAAGATAAGAAACCGAAAAATAAATATTACCCTCTGGTGTAATTTCCTCTGAGTTTCTTGATGATTTGAGCGCACTTTCTCTCCTTCAAGCTGTAAAAAATATCGCATGTGATTTATATGAGATATTGAACTGCCATGCCAGACACGAGGCCATAATAAAAGAGGCCTAACCTCAAATTTATCAAGTTCAGAAGGTATTTTTGGATATGCGTTGTCATTTGGATTCTTGGATCTGAACAACCAAGTGTGATTTAATAAAACTGCAGACAAATGCTAAAAAGCAAGGAGTAAACATTTCAGAATTATACTAACTTGAGAGCCCACTTCAAATGATGTATTTCATCCTCAATGCGATCACGCTCACTCCTCAAGAATTGAAGTTCCTGCAAAAGACCATCAGAACCCTAGACCAAACCTCACTAAAAATTTAGAATAGTAGGCAGAGATAATTATCATATGGTAGACGATGATGACGATCGGAAGTCAAATAACAAGCCGGGACCTTGCGTGTATTTCTTGATTCCCAGAGGAGTTTGACTTCCTTCTCAAGTTCTGGGACAACAAGCATTGTTCTCCATCCTACACATCAAACGCTTTTAGTCACAACATCATCAAACCATTTAGGGAAATTCTACGAATATGCATAACAAAACCGAAAGATTCAGGCAACCGGCCAACGCCATACAAGATATAACACTCGGACAAAGTTGTAAAAGCTTAACGCAATTTAACATCTGTTATATTACCTGTCTCTGTATCCCTATATTCCTCCCAGGAATTTACACTTCTAATCATAACAAAATGCCAAAGCTCAATAGTGAAAAAATTATGACAAAGCGAAACTATTTTTAAGAAGAAAGCATTGAGGATTTATATGATATACCAAGAACTTTTTTGCTGCGTAATATATCTCCATAAATGTGATCCCCAACATACAGAACCTACACAGACAGAGCACATGACGTTTCAGGAAACATTGCTAGGTATTGACATTCCTTAATCAACAGCTTTAATGGTTAGATATGAAAATGATCACCATCTATAGGACGACATAATTTATAATAGAACTTACTATAATCTGATCGTATAACCTACAGATAATGGCATAAAAGAAGAGACATTCACCTGTGGGCTTGAGGCCACTGAAAGTAATTTATGCAAATGACCAACACTGCCTCCCTAAAACAGAAGTTCATGATCATATTGAATTTTCTGATAGTGATGTGCTGAGCGATAAAACAATATGATGCAGACCAAGTATTTATAAGCTTCTTCAAATTGTTTAGCATAAACCTGTCCAAATATACCTGGAAAACCTTATGAGCACCCTTGTCTTCCGGCAATAACCTTGCTGCGATATCACCCACCTTTTCCAAGAAAGGCAAGACAGATTATAAAGAAGGATCGTCATGGGAAAGAATAAAATGATTTAATGTACTGCCGCACTTACCTGAGGCATAGGAGAGCCATTATCCGTATTAATTAACATTCCAGTTTCAGGCTCAACCTCAAATAGGTTGGCACGATTTTCCTCATCGAAAAAGCTTGGCTTTGCACTGCATCGACAATAGACTTGTTCAGTTTATGGTGAAACTAAGTTACGTTAATGCACGCAAGCGGAAGCCCAAAAATTGATTATTCAGGCTTGAAAAAACTGCAAAATGGAAATAATTTTAATGGATGCTTCTAGCTAAGTAGCTTATAAATGAACTGGATGATACAGAATTGATGTTTGAATGTCCTGGCTGAATGAAACTGCAAAAACAATCCATTGGACAATGCCAAAGCCAATTAGTTAAATGAAAGAGTCAAGAGCATTCAGAAATTCGCTCCAGATGCTGGGATCAAGCCGGAACAAGCTTTGCAACAGAGTAGACATTTTGACATTAAGAAATGAACATGACCTGCCCGTGATGACAACATCAAAGTATCGAAGCCAACCAAAATTGGTTCTGCCATCTACCACAGGGGATCCACAGAGAAAATTCATGACAATATTTGTGTAGTCCCATAAACTGCAAATGATACATGTGTATGCGTAAAATATTAGTTAATTTTTTCTTGAGAGAGCCAGTATCATGAACACATTCTGAGATAATTCATTCAAATTTCCAACAACAATTTTAGAAAAACTTCGCAATTACAATCTTAATATTAAATTTTTTTTTTTCCGATTTGAGTTCAGAATATCCACTGTTGATAGCAGTGACTAATCCTCTCACACCATAGACTTTCCGAAGAGGTTTTAGTGCTAATCATGAGACCCTCTCTATACACACTGTCAGGGATCAAACCCTTTACTAGATGCTTTGCAAGGTATTAACGTTTTAGGGATTCCTAATTGCAAGGACATGGATTTGTTTCATTAACAATGGGATACTCTATCTTGTTCCATCATTAAATAAACATAAAACAGTTGGAATGTTATTTTTTCAAACTTCTCTTCCTAATTAACTGATGAAAAGCCATAACTACCTATTTGTCACCAAAAATACAGCTCGTCCAGAAGCTCTGAGCATTTGAAGAATGGGCACGATTGAAGGGTCTTCATTGATATATCTTGCACAGAAAATGTTCATCAAGTATCCACAGTTGATATATGATATTCAGGAAAGCAGTTCTCATTTCTCGGGAACAGCAGTATTTTCCCCTAAATTAGTCTCATTAATAACTCTTTTGTTTTGTTTAATTTTTACAATTAGTATTTCTACAATAACCAAATTTTCCCTTCACTATGGCACTATTTCTTGTTTACCCATACCTTTTAGGATCTTTTGCTACCATTTGCTTCAATGTCCCGTCCCTGTGACACATGTCCACAGCAGCCCGAACATCTTTATACATGCGAGCATAACTGAAGCGGTATTGCACAAAAGACTATTTATAATTTTATATCATGATGATGTCGATCGACAGGCTACTTAATGAAGTCTGAATAAATTTATATGTTGCTCGTTCAAATGGCTATGCAATTTTTTCACAAATAATGGCATTTCATACACTTGAGCCCTAGGCTTTATTTCAAAACTAACAAGAGAACCTAGTGCAAAAGTATTCTTGTCCTGCTCTCTAGATAAATAAATACTTGTATTTCACCAAAACACTATTACTAGGGTACCATATTAGCAAGCTAGCTACTGCATTGAACATGTTAAAAGCAGGTTTAACAGCATACATCATCAATGAGGGATAATTTACAAACACCCCATTTTAAAAGACAACCAATGTTGCCTCCCACTTAAGATGAAAAATGCAAGGGTTGACTATGCAACAAGAATAATACTTACTCAACATGCCCTAGAATTTCTCCAGGATGACTGTCCTTAAAATCAACCAGCTGGGCAAACAAATAGGCTTCAGCCAGTGAAAAGAGCGTATCAATGAGAGCATAGTCTGGCTCATCAAAAGAATTGCGTACTAAGGTATTTCCATAGGTCCCAACTTTATCTTCTTTCGACAATTCCTTAAATCCATGATAAGCTACTTTCACATACTTGTGGCGATCCATCTAAAAAGCATAAGCAGAAATCCAGCAATCAGACATACATATGAAAAAGATCTCATCTCTCTCTCATGTGGAGGTGGCGGAGAAAAGAAACTAATTCAGCCTCAACCTTCAAGATGTTGCCTCTATTTTTGTCGAGGACCAAGCCCCTGACCATGTACTTCCAGTCAAATGACCACTTTAGCAACTGCAGAAGATAAACTTTCTTTAAGCCAAGTACAGCATGATACGAATTCTTTATGCATATGAAGAAAGTGATAATGCATAAATCCCTGTAAGGTCACAAAATATTATGTTGGAGAAAAAATTCATGTAGGCAGTGATGTATATGGTAATTACCATAAGAGGATATCATGAACCACAACAGACTAGCAGATTAATAATGCAAGAACAAGAATAGCAAAGACTGATTAGACGCGGCAATTGAATGGACAAACCAACCTCTTTAGGGTATCCCAAATCAGAAACCAGCTTTTTAACAGTGCCTTGATAAGCAAGAGTCTCAAAAGTTTCAGGCTTATATTGTGCAAGAGTATAATCCATATCAAATCCCACAGCAACAATGTTCTTCATATTCAGTGACCGATTGCAAAAGATCTGCTTGCCTATCTCAATTTTCTGTTCAGGTTCAGGAGATGATGACCAGATGCAAGGGTCTTCGCCACTACCATTGCCAGGCAAGTGCACTGGTATTTGATCTTGCGCACCGATTTCATGGCTCTTGTCCATTGAATATGCAACTGATTACATTCAGATAGATATATGATTGACAAAATGAATATGAAAAACTGCAATCACAAAAAATATATCCCAACAGTAATTAGGAATGACTTGGATACGCACCTTGACAGCATGATGTATCAATGAAAGTGGATTGTAACTATCTAGATATGGGATTCCAACCCAAGGAAAAAGAGCAAATTACATAGGACATTTGTCCAAATTCAAGATGAAAACATGCTATTACTTCATTGTTTTCAAATCATTGGAGATGCAGAATCGTGCGTGCATAAACAGGCCCACATTGAACAATTAAGGCAAAAAGTTTCTGCCTTCATGGAAAATTACAGATAATTAGTAAATGATCAAACTTTCTTATTCATGAAGAAATGTGCCATGGTGGTCGTTGAAGTTCAATCTTTCTCACAAATAAAGTGAACAGATGGTTCATGATTCAACACAAATTTAGTACGTTTACCCGGGAAACACACACACACGCGCGCAAATTCGGTATATTAGCCATCGCTACAACCTGATTTTCTCTTGTCATTAATAAGTTGTGATTAAATACCAGGAGAAACGATGAGCATGCGAAAAACATAAAAAAAAACTAAATGGTCTATCGAACATATTTTCTTATGGAATAACCCCTTGCTTGGAAAAAAAAAAAAAAAAAAAACTCGATATCTGATTATTGCCTTTACAGTGAATCAACTGCGGTGCACAATGCACGGGACTCTGTTCCGACTCTTAAGAATTCCACACGCCACGCTCCAAGAAATACCTAAAATTTCAACTTCTTAATCAACAAAGAGTAATCCAAGTTCGTACTTCGCAATATTCTCAACCATATCACCCTGTTATTTTAATTAAGCCTAAAATAAGAGAAATGAGTCCCAAAACAATCTACACCACGGTCACAAACAGAGCAACTGCCCAAGAAAAGTCAAAAGCTTAAAGAACAAGAAAACCATGGTATGGGAAGTAAAACAAAGCGGGGACGGAGAAAAAACCGAATGAGGATGAAGTGAAAAAAGTAGGAGAAGGCGGAACGAACCTCGAGAGAAAGTGGTGAGCGGGGAACGATGAGATTGTGAATGTATGTAAAGGGGTAAAAGCCAGAGAGAAACGAGACGGACCTCTTCGAAATTTGCATTGTATTTGTCATTAAATAGGCATGGTGATGGTGGAAAGAGTAAAAGAGAGAAAGAGAGACTCGGACAGAATCAGATACTCTGCACATATATACATATATATATATATAATGCAGAGGAAAGGGAGGAGCATTTGAGATTTGACATCTAACACGCCTTCCTTGAGTTGAAAGGTAGCGCAATAGGAGTTAGAATTAGAATTTGGATGATAAAAATCCATGCTGGCCAAAGCATTAATTCCCCCTCAACCATGGTAGTTGATACTGCTTTAACTTTTATCGAGTCATGCTGGTAATGTAACTACGAGGGTCCGACCTGTCGCTTTGGGTAAAAAGATGAAGACGACGTGACACGTGTCGGCGGGATAACGAAGAGGACGGGCGATATGTGTTGGCGCGGGCTTTGCCCTTTTAGTTCCTTCTCCTCTTGAATTGGGTTCTCAGGCGACGATAAGTCAAGAAGTCGCGCGCGGCTAGGCTTGGCCTGGCGCCCGCACTCTCGCGCTCTCAAAACGCCATTTTTTCGTTGCCACCATTCTATTTTTTCCTTCCAGGATTGACGCCTCCTATTTGGATTTTATTTATACATGTAACTATGAATCATGTGAGAGCAAAAATAAAGGTGAAAAGCAGCTTAGCGAAGCATGTAACCATAATTTCCAAAAACCATGCCAACTGCCTTGCCCCTTATCCCTGGCGCCTTCTCCAGCGTCGCTGCGCCTTCTTCATTCCCTCCAACGCCCCGCCATTCAAAATGCCATGCTTCCCTCAAACCTAAAACACTTCCCCTCTCGCGCAGAGACGCTGGTTTGCTTCTACTCCTCTCTCTGTCTCCTCCTTCACCTGCCTTCGCCATTGGCATTTGTAAGGACCTCCATTCTTCCTTCTCCGAAGTATCTTATCTTGCTTTCTTCTTACTTCCCGCGTTTCGAAACCTTAATTTCTCAATTGGTGCGCAGCTGGACCTAAGGATTGGTTGAAAGAGCAAAAGAAGAAGTCTTCCAAATTCCTGTTGGCTCCAGTCGATGCCTCCCGTGAAAGCTTACGTTCTGCCTATCTTTTGCTCTGTACGCCCCCCCCCCCAAAAAAAAAAGAGAAAAAAAGCTCAAGTGTACATTGATTATTAGGTTTGATTGAGCTTCTCTTTGATATTGACAGTGGAAAGCGATGCTGATTACACGGACCAGGATTTTGAGAAATTTCAGAATCTCTTCAGGTCGGCTGCTAGGGATTGCGTTCCGCAGGAGAGAAATTCTTTCGTCTCTTTCCAGGCTAACACTGGAGTTGAGGTTTGCCCGTCCTCTATTTTAGCAGTCGGAGATGGACTAACTGTCTGAGCTGTTTTGCTAGTGTGCTTTGAACGACTCTGCCTCTGCAAAAGTATATGCCCGCAACGAAGTTTTTGAATGGTGTATAGTACTAAAGGGTTGCAAAATTATCGATTAACTTTTAATCATAGTTTACTCACTGCCTTATTCATTTCAGGAACATGGTATCTTTGATGCTCCATTATGGCTTTCTTTTTTAATTTTAGTTATCTGAGATTCGTAGTTATCGGATCTTTGGGATATCGAATGATAAATAATACTAGATTCTATGTAAAAGGCGTGCTTTGCACTTTATCTTTAGGCTGGATTCTTTATTCCTATCCACGTTCCTTTTCCAAAAGGCATCGAATCTCTAGAGCAAAGATAATTTTAGGCAGAACTCACCTTCAATTTCTTTTCATGTTCAGGTATGCACATTTCGATTGATCGTGAAGAATGCGGCCTCATTGCTTGGAAATAAGGATCCTGTAAAGCTGAAAGCCGAAGCCTTGCTGGATGATCTCATAAGGTACCCGCTTTTCAGCATCTTTGTGCTGCTGCAACAACTTATGTGTTGCTTAACTCTCTTCTTGATGCCATTGGAATCACTTTGAAAGTAGGAAGCATCTGCACAACTGGAAAATTTGTTTGTGCCATTGACACAGAAGCAAATGTTTTGCATGATTCTGTTTCCTGTTTATATCTGTAACCATAGAATTCTTTGTTTGGTCTAGCTCTAGGTGCCCTTGAAACTTTGTTGGTATTTCTTTGTAATCAATAATACACAACGAAGGGGATTAGTTAGCTCAGCTGAGTGCAGTTACACGAGGTTCTGACATCTGAACCTCTCCTCAGAGTCACACCTAGTGAAGTGGGGGGCTTTTGTTCTCAATGATGTTATGGGATCTTTACTCCCTTTTTAATTTAACTTTGGCTTAGCCTTTCTCTCTCTATATTCTATACCAAAAAGCACACAGACAAGAAATGGAACAAGAGATAATTGCAAAAATATTCCCTTTTTCTTTCATAAAAACTTGTCCAGCTTAGCAGTTTTGACCTCACATTCTTTATCTGCACCTATATCTGCTTTTCCTCATTTAAAATTCCGGTCGTATCAAAATTAATTGCAACTGCCTTAAATGGTAATGTATGGTGTTCCCCGGTTTGGCATATCTATGTACATAACAACTATAATAATCAGTTATTTACTGACTCTTTGTTTGCTTCTTATAATGCAGATCTTTCACCTTTGTCAGTGGCCTGGCAGGCGAAACCACCTATAAACTTGCTTCTAATAGGTATGTCTTCAATAATAACTCATAGGAATCCTGGAGAATGCAAGATCTTTCTCTTCTTTTAATAATGTTGTAAAAACCTGTACACCCGAGATATATCTATCTTTTCTTTTATGGCAGCATCCTCTTATGAGTCATATTCTTTCCATCCTAATACTGGAATTTAATTCAGTTAAGAAATGGCCTCGGTTGAACTCCATTTGTAACCAATCAATTGTAATTAGACTTGGAGCGCCTCCTTTGTGCCAATGTCAAAACTTTTGGTGTCTATGGAAATAATAAATTGGATTATGATCATTCAACTACGACTTCTCCTTGTACTGCTTTACAAGTGTCTGTGTGTGGCTTTTTAAGATTTAAAGGCAATAGCTCCATTAACATTGTCTCAGTATTTCATTTTGATCATGGAGGCCACTCTCAGGCTTATTCCATCTGAAATAAAGCGTATAGCTATATATTATTGTCTTCTCTCCAAACACAACATCTTCCCTGCTATCATTTGTTTCTTTACTTTTAATTTGTTACGAGTTGGAACTTAATCAGTTCGATGGCATTTTCCTTTCTGCATTTGTTGCAGAAGAAAGATAGCAGATGCTGTAGAGGGTACACTATCTTCTCTCGACAAATTTGAGCAGGGAATCAAAGATTGCCTTGAAATCTGACTGCTAGGGATAGCCGGTATTTCTGCTTGACTGCTTCTACTTCCTTAAGGTGGAAAGTCCAAGTTCTGAAGATCACGGAACTGATGGAAGTGCCGTTTGGCTATATTATATGCACTCTCTCTCTCATCTGTTAATGTTTAATATCTGGCAAAGGCAAAGTGGCCATGCTGTGACAGGCTGGCATATAATCTATTAATTTTGGTTAAGATCGATTGAAAAAAGAAAAATTATCTAGCCTCATGAGGTTCATAGTTTCTTTATCAAACATTTGAAACTCTTAAGTGTTAGCTATAACTCACCGCCTGACTAAAGAAGGTTTGAGAATCAAATTTTTGCCAACATTAATTGTCCCTTCTGCCCAGGTAGTTAATTTCTGGCGCATGTGTCTTGTATCGTTATCACAGTAATACGAAAACATATTTTATAACTAGTTGTGAAACATAATTTGACTATATTTTTAGCCTTTGTTCTCTTTTGATCTGGGATGACATCGTCTCTGGTCTACTAGTCTTGTTGAGAAATTGCTGATAACTTTGATTGCTTAATATTTTTTGCATGCAGGCTACATTCATAAACTGTAAATATTAAGCATTCAGTCTTTAATGGCTTCAAAGATCCGGAATGATTCATAAAAATCAGCTCAGAATCAGAAAGATAAAGGAAGAGGTGCATTTCCCCTAACTTAGCAGTGTTGCGTCATTTTGTTTGATCCCGTGCGCATGTCCTGTTTTATTGCTTTTGAATTTGTTTTAATTAAATTATTAATGACGTATAAATATTATCACTTGTTATAAATGATGTTATATATCGATATTGATTTGCATATAATGATTGTAAATTGATTTTAAAGATGCTCAATGTGATGCGTGGCACATCGTGGAGTAGTGTGGAGTATGGACTGCTTAGTATTATCCTAACGCTCCGTTTCCGTTTGTGTTATAATGTTTTCTTTATCTTCATTTGATGCTTCCTTTTGTTTCTAATTGTACAACCAGATACATATCATTTCTCTCGGTGATGTTCGATAGAGATAATATAGCAAGACTTGGCTTACACGTTCTTTTATGATATCCAAATGAATATATGGTGAAAAAGTGAGTGAATAACGTTGGCCAAAAAAAAAAAGTGAATGAATAAAAATATTCCATGAAATTCAATAAAATCTATAGATAAATACAAAAATACAAAAAAAAAATTATTGAGCATTTTCCATTATTTATAATTTGTTAATAATGTGTCGTTTTATAATTTTTTTTTGTATTAATTCATTCGATATTTAAGGGTGAGCACCCGTAGCTTTCGAATTTCCCCAGGATTTTTCGTTGTCAATTGTTCAAATTGACAAGGATTTCTCTGTGTTACAAAAAAAAAAAATGACAATGATTTTCGGTTAAATGGCTTCAGCGGTTTGTTCTTGACCGAACTAAATAGGATATGAATGAAGGCTACCTTTACCAAAAACAACAAAAGATTAAAAATAAAAATAAGCAAGGCAAAAGCAAGTTATATTGTTCTGTGGAAAAACAATCTAAAAATCATATTCATATCTTCAGGTCAGAGGCTTCCGAGAGCTATATTTTCGCATCTGAAAAGGAATAATAGACGGAACGGCGGTGCCGCAGTAATAAATATACGACATTACATGGCACACGAATATGCCATCAGAATTCAGAGCGTGATGTGCACTGACCTGGTACTGCACTAGCGAGCTGCTAACAATGGGCCCTGTATCTAGACTGTAAATTTGATCTTAATTGACGACAAAGATCTTCATATCAGGACTGAGTCAAAGTCCCTTCATTTGATTGATCTGGTGAACCAGAAGCTTCCACCAAATACAAGCGACAGCATGGCCTTCCGTCATCCGGATGAGTTTGTACTGACCTAGGCACACTAAGAAGCTTGTTGAAGAGATTTAGTGGATCATTCAATAGTCCAAAATGGGCGTCCGGGTCGCCTATTTGTGAAAGCTTTACGTGAGCGAAGCCAATGGACGGCAGGAGATGGTCAGGCCAATCGCTGTAAAAATGGAAAGTGGAACTGGACAGCATAGTTGATGGTTTGTTCATGAAGTCTGCCAATAGCACTGTGTGGGTTAGCGCGCATTTTTCAGCTATGATCCTTAGCACTTGCATGGCGCGGAGTTGAGTTAGGTAGTAGAGGATACCTTCCAGAATCCACACCGTTCTCTTCTCCGGTATGAAACCTGAGATTTTAAGTTTTTCCACCCAGTCATCTTCTCTGATGTCGGCTGCTACTCTCGTTAAGGATTTTGCTCTGCATATAATCTGCTGCTGGTCGTCGTCCTTCGCTGATTCCTCTGCCGCTCGCAAAATGGTAGCTTTCAACTGTAAGACTTCAGGAAAATCAACTTCAAACACATCACTGTCTTTTAAGCAACTCAGGCGGTAGGCCCTCGTGTCCATTCCTGCTCAAAAGTGGCACAAGATCTCATCAGTTTGTATGATTTCTGCGCCACAAGGTTGTGGCTGTAAACATATTCAGAAATTTCAAATCTAATATTTCTAGCCAGTATAAGACGGGAACTCAACTTCAAGCACATCGTCTTTTAAGTAAATCAAACGATAGGCCCTCGTGTACATTCCCACTAAAATTATGACCGTAAAATCTTCACAAAATTGAAACCCAGTAGCTCGGACTCCAATTGCCTGAGTTAGTTCAAGGTGCAACCATAGACCATTTCATCCGTGAACCCGAGCAGATTCTCCTTCCTTAGCTTGTTCCATTTGATTCCCTCCCCTTATTAGTGGCGGAGGGGAATTTGAAAACCAATGTAATTTATTCGAGGGAGCCACATGGTTGCTAATTGGCACACCAAAATGTCCACATTAAAGATTCCACATTCCAGGGTGTTGATGACCCCGGCACACGAGTTCACCCGTATCTTCAATAATATTTCAGGCTCAAAAAAAAATCGTCGAGAATATATTCTAAATAATATAACTATTTTTTAATATGATACTACATATATGTGATCTACAGAACGCGGTTTTACATCAAACATCTGCGGATTCTAGGTTTTTTACTGCTTTGATGTGCCCCGGTGAGGCAGGGATCTGCTGTGTTCTGAGGCAAGTGAATGACGCAGCCACTTCGTTTTTCTTTTTCCCCATTTAAGTTCATTAATTAACAACATGATGAACGATTCTCCTGATTTTTTCAATGGAAAAATGTAAATATGCCAAGTTTTAAATGATCACGGTCGAGTTTGTACGAACCTGCACCAAGGAGAACAACCTGGGCTTCTCTGCCATTGGGGGACTTAAGAGCAAGCTCGAGTCTGGAATCAAACCAAAGTGTTCGAACAGCAAGAATGACCCCAGAAATCTCACGGGCATTATTGAGATGATCTTTCTTGATCTTGTCATGAAGGTTTCTCAAATAAGTCTCCCCTGCAAGTAACTCAGCCAGAGGATCATGGACGACGTGCTTCCACAGAGCCCTTCCGGCCGCTGTTTGACAGGCTGACCTCTGAAGGAAATCCCATTCCTTCTCAATTGTAGCATGCACTTGTCGAACGGCGTCGTTCTGCAACAACTCCGGCAGCTTCAGCTCCGGCCACATGGAGTCCTGAGGCAACCCGTTTACTTGGTCCGACATGACTCGCCTGTGGGGGATCAGGAGGTTGTTGATGAAGATAATACATTGCATTTGTAGAGAAGCATGAGAAGAGATAAGAAAAGAGGACCACACACAACCTACGCTTGAGAACCTGCCTTAATCCGTTAATCGTAGCTAGCTTCTTGGCCTTAATGAAAGACAAGGTAACGATGTAGTCCACGACTGCTACTACTACAATAACTAGTGCTTACTCATTTTCCTTTTTCCCATTTCTGTCTTTGGCTGTCTGTCTATTTTCGGGTGTGGAAAAGTGATGTACGGCTCCCGTGTTGCTGTGTATATCGTTATTTAAAAAATAATTTTATTTTTTTTCTGGTACAAAAATAGTTTTATTAAAGGGGGGGAAAAAACTAGATGTGATGGCTCCACTCCAACCTTGGGATATTGCCAACGTGATTGTCCAGTCATTATCAGCTTCCACCAAGTACTCGTTTGTTTTATTTTTTTTCCCCCTGGGACCAGTACATGTGAATCAGCCAGCCATTTTTATGGCGATTTTTCTTGTGGAAAGAAGATGAAAAGAAATTTCAGATTTGTATTCCTTATTTCAATCAAAAGGGGCGGATAGGAGTTTGGTTAAAATTTGATGTACACACTTTTATTTATCTGAACACAATTTGTTCGAATAAACAAGACATCTTCTTATTGTTAATTTTAAAAAATGACAATTAAAACATGTAAAAATAAAAATATAAAATTGTTGAAGTGTGAATGAAGGATGTAAAACTATTTAATTCATGCATGGTATGGATACACAATCCGCATCAGAACGGCTGGGTTGGGAGTCCACGTGGATGAAGGCTGAACGGCGTACGTAAAAATCAAGAAGTATGCATCCAATCGAAATTCTTTCAAGCGGATATTATCTCATCCTAATACTTTATGCTCTTCACTGTAGAGCCGGGAACAGCCCAGCCCGTCATTCGAAGGTGTGGGCTATTCCAACCCACACTACTTTGAGCCTGTGACCTGCTTATCTTTTTTTTTTTTTTTTTTCCATGCAATTCCCAATATATTATATAATATAATTAGAGGATTTTGACCTTCAAATTTTACATTGACATTACCTCATTCATATAATTGCATATGTAATATACATATAAAAAACAACTTAATTAATATGGATAAAAAAAGCCAAATTAATTATTTAAAAAAATGTGTTAGTTTTTCTAAAATATCATCTCAGATTATAAATTAATTCTTACATTATTTTATTATGACTCACTACTCAAGTTTAAAACTTCAAATTCAATTTCAACATTTCAAATTAAGCTCAACTTATACAAATAATAAAAAAAATTTAAAAAATAGTTAAGTTAATTATTTATAATAAATATATGTTATTTTTTTTTAAATACTCCTGTTAAATTATGCATATTAGTTAAAACTAACATTTGATAAAACTTTTAACATATATAATTATTATAATTAAAAAAATAAATATGAGAAAAAAAGTAGATTGAGATTTTATATTTATAACAAATTAGATGTCAAACTAGCTAAGAAGATAATATATGTATATAAATGCATATTGTTCTGTGCTATGCACTGGTTTTAGAAAATAAATTTATCAACTTCATCCGTGCTGGTTTCAGGGAAAATTGGACTCTCTGTTTCGAACCCGCAATAGATACCCTACGCACGCACACATACCCCTCGACCAAACGGCCAGTGTAAATGGTAGAATGATCCATCCATAAATCCCGCCACTAGATGACCCAATCCAGTATAAATGTTATCCTTTGTTTTGGAATATGCGCATGCGGCCCAGTCTACTACTGCCTACTGTGCTCTTGGAATTTTTTTCCCTTGCCATAATCCGACAAAACTCTTTAATAGTTTAATTACATTTCTTTTAATATACCATTGAAGCGCTACGCTGGTGGCTGCTGGAAAACCGAAATCTGCAGTGACCGTTCTGTCATCAAATTCCACTGTCGTCTCGAACCAGAGACTCCATCTTTTGCCGTTGCTTCGGGTGATCAAACCCTGGTCTTTGTGGAAGTTGGTGTAGTTAGAGACATACACTTTGCGTGTACGCTTGCAAGCTCTCTCGTTCTCGCCTACGTAGAACAACAGAGAGATGGTGATGGAGGTAGAGTGCTGTGGGACGCGATTCGCTCTGTACGTGTTGATAGTGATAGGGTTGGTGTGCTTTGCCGGACTGATGGCTGGTCTTACTCTCGGTCTTATGTCTTTGGGCATCGTCGACCTTGAGGTTCTCATCAAGTCTGGTCGTCCTCAGGATCGTGCTCATGCTGGTACCCTCTCTGATTCTCTTTCCTCCCATTCCTCTACTTAATCACTACCAAAATTTTCATTTTTTTATAATATGTCGTCAACCGTTTGATATTTGGATCCTGATTTGGTTGGTAGATGGTAGATACTATGGCTCACTTGATTTGATTTCGAGCGCCTTACTAAGATTCTGCTTCTTATATTCTGAACTTTTCTTTATAGCGCCTGTGGCTCGATTAATGTAAAAGCTTAAATTTTTGGGATTTTATGTGAATTACTTGCTGCCCTGGATTTGGGAACTGTAAATATCAGCACCTGTTAGATTGTAAACTGCCTAATTTGCATTAATCGACATGTGATGATGTTCGTCTTGTCTTTAACACCTGGATAGCAAGCTTGGGAACTGAATTGAACTGAGTTTCCTTGTCCACCATACTTCGTATGTCAAGAAAATGGATTCACTTTGTGTGTATCTAGTTATGATGTTTGCAAAGTTTGGTGCGTATGAATCATTTACGAAACAATTTGAGCACACGGTTCTTGCTTGGTGAGTAGATATATTAAAACCTACTAACCACCCCTTTTCGCAAATTTCAAACTTCTGTTTTTGCAGCTAAAATTTTTCCAGTGGTAAAAAACCAGCATCTTTTGCTTTGCACGCTTTTGATTGGCAACTCTTTAGCAATGGAGGTAGTGTTAGGCTCTTATGGCTTCGATGGAGCCATTTTGCTGATTTTTTGGTATTGATCATGATTTCGTTGCTTACAAGTTGCAACAACCCATCTGCCGGTTTTGCTACAGGCTCTTCCTATTTTCCTAGATGCTCTAGTGCCTCCATGGGCAGCGATCTTGTTATCAGTCACACTCATCCTTGTGTTTGGAGAGGTAAATATAAACTGATGGAATAATTACATGAACTGTTTGTTGAAAATGCATAGGATGTTTTAAATTATTTGAAATATCTCAACTATCTATTACTTTATTTCTAGACTTAAGGTGGGTGCTCATTAGACCCATTTAACTTTTTTTTTTTTTTTTATATCTACTTACCATGTTAGTTAGTTTGTTCTTATATGTCATGATTTTTATTTTGTTATGCCTTCGTTACCTCTTGTTGTATGGGGCTTTGCCATGTTTCTTCTATAAAAACAGGAACTCTGTACATACATGCACGCTTAATTATAGTGGAAAGAAGAACTCTGCTGTTTAGATGGTAACAAAGATTAGTTCTGGCGAGCTATAAACTTCTGTACATCTGCACTGTTATAGAAGAAAAGGTCTAAAGCCAGTGCATATTCAAACTCTTCCAAGTAAACTGTGGCAATGGGCCAAGAGCATGTTTCAGTGATTCCCTCCTATTTTTTCTTTTGAGCCACTGATTTCCATTCAGTTCAAATCACCATTTTTTTGGTTATAAGTTTAAATCACCATCATTTGCTTAAATGTTGTAATTCCCTTAGACGGTCCTTATCAGTGCTTGCAAACGTTAGGAGGAGAGGGAAAATGGTGTTATTTGAGTGGTAGCGCTAAGACGTTAGCACCTAATGATCACAGTATGCCATATGGGCTGTTGAAAACTCCGTGGTCACAAATAATAGCTGCCTTAAAACGCATTGAGGTCCACCAAAACAGGGAGCGAGTGTCACCAAGTGCTTCAATTCTTGAAAACATTGGGTATAGTCAATGACGACGATTAGAAGTCAGTCAAGAAGTACTTTGCTATTCACACCTTTTGCTTAGGAAGATTTTGTCCATGATCTGAGTACGTGTGCTTAAAATTCAATGTGATGCTGCAGATAATGCCACAAGCTGTCTGCACTCGTTATGGATTGACAGTAGGAGCTACAATGGCACCCTTTGTTCATGTTCTTCTTCTAATATTCTACCCCATTTCTTATCCAATTAGCAAGGTGGAAATTTATGATTGTGCATGTAATTACTATGAATGTTGGAAGAAGCTGATATCTGAATAGATATTCTAATAATTCCAGGTTCTCGATTGGATGCTTGGTAAGGGACATGCTGCCCTTTTAAGGAGGGCAGAGCTCAAGACTTTCGTAAACTTTCATGGGAATGAGGTTAGATATCAATGTTAAAGTTCTTGTTGATCGATAAATACAATGCCTTTATAGTCATCTGAATGATTTAGGTGGGCTTTCATAATTTTTTTTATGTGAGGTTAAACTCAGGAGCCTTATGTTGTAATTCTTTTAATATAGCTTTGCTTAGTTCTCTGATGCACAAGGTGTATGTACTTATTTCCTCATCTAGGCTGGCAAAGGAGGAGATTTAACACATGATGAGACGACAATCATAACTGGTGCCCTTGAGTTGACTGAAAAGACTGCAAAAGATGCCATGACCCCCATATCAAAGGCATTTTCCCTTGATCTGGATGCAACTCTAACTTTGTGGGTTTGTAAATTCTTTAATGTCCTCTACATCATGTTTGTGTATTTTTATGGTCTTACCTTGTCCTCTCTTTCTACTTTGAAGGGAGACACTGAATGCAATAATGACTATGGGTCATAGTAGAGTTCCAGTTTATGCAGGAGATCCAACGAATATCATAGGACTTGTTCTGGTACTTTCTCTTTCAACACCTAATAGGAATTTTAGTTCGGGGTTGTCAGCTAATGGAGTGGGATTGTGGATTATTTATCAATTATAACCATAGTTGATTTTCATTATTGTTCATCTGTTATATTTTTGCTTTAGTCTTGGATACGGCATGATGCACCAGGCGAAAATTTATTATTGTAAATTCTGCATCTGTATATTCAATATTTGTATTTTGATTTGTTTAGCATTGTGGCTTGCTAAAAATTGAACTAACAACAGATTAGATTGATGAGTTAAATAACTACCAGCAGTTTATGTATTCATTTCCTCACTTTATGTAGAACGTCTCCTTTATTCATTCATCTTTATTCTTGCATCTTTTTACTTATATTCTGTGCTTTGAATCTTAACATGTAAAAATGGTGATCTAAACTGGTTCACTTTTGCTGTATATGTAGTGAACTATATTTCATGAGGGCTAATGGTAGGAATGGCTGTTTGATCTATGCATATAGTCGCTGTTCGAATGTGATTCACTGTTTTCGTTACAAAATTCCTAAAACATCTATAAAGTGGTCTTTGCACAGAATATTCATTCTGGACTTGAGGATTGGCACTAAGCTTGGGTCGTCAGATGATTGAGATCCTGTCTATGATCATTTCCTGATTATTGTTTATATTTAAATATTTCTAGCAATGGATTTTCTATTTTTACCTGTAAGAATAGCTTTTAAGATAAAAGAAAGTGAATTTATTGCAGGCAAACTTAGTATTTAGTGCGATTGAACTCTGGCATCTCTGTTATTAGTTCTTCCATCTACTTATGTACTCAAGTAATTCTATGCTTTCACTTTCTTATGATATCCATTAAATTTCTGGTTCGTCTGCTTTTACATGCAGGTTAAAAATCTTCTAATGGTTTATTCGAAAGATGCAGTTCCCCTAAGAAAAATGATTATAAGAAAAATTCCTCGGTAAACCCTTTTCCTACACACTAGACGAGTTACTTGCCAATGAAATAAAATAAATGACTGTCAGATGACTCTTTTTATCCCTAATTGATGCATTAGTATTTTTGGCTATATTTATGCTTTACGGACGTGCTGGTTTACTACTGGTGGTATATAGTCATGGTTTCCTCGTCATCCTGCAGTGTTGCAGACAACATGCCTCTCTACGACATACTAAATGAATTTCAGAAGGGTCACAGTCATATAGCCGTTGTGTATAAGGACCTGAATGCTAAAAAGGAAGTACCTAAAAAGAATAAAGATGGGGAACAACTTGAATTTAAGGACAGCTGCAAGAACAAGGAGAAAAAGGCATCCTTGGAGAAAGGTAAAATAAAACTTCACTTGTTTATTTCATATTATAACTTATGAATGATCTGCTCAACAGACCTCTGGGGATTTACCCGGTTGGCCTGACTTGTCTATTGTCTTGAATATAGGTGCCAAATCGGAGATGATCGGGGGTTCTAATGGAGGTCCACAGGTGAAGAGAAGCCCACCAACTACTCCTTCCTTTAAGAAGCGACATAGAGGTTGTTCATATTGCATCTTGGACGTAGAGAATGCTCCCCTGCCAACATTTCCACCCAATGAATTGGTTGTTGGCGTAATTACAATGGAGGATGTCATTGAAGAACTTCTTCAGGTTGGATGCTTTTCACATATTTTACTGTAACCGCTGTTGGTTTGGACTATAATTGTCTTTCTGGTAATAAGGATTCAACTGTGAATGTTACGGGCATAGTTTTGAGGGGGGAAAATTGGCCGAACTTCCATTTGTTATTGCTACTGCTGCAAATATTTCCCCCTCCGGTGTTTCTGATACATGTGTTAAGGATACATTCTTTAGGACACTTTTTGTGGTGCAAAAACGTATTAAATTTAACTTCTGCAGAATTATTCTTATATTTTTGTAGGTTCCCCAAATTGCCTGCACAGTTTTATTGCTACTAAGCTATTAGCTTTATATCTTTCTATTGCGGCTACTGATTCCATCTACATTTGATATTTGCTTGTTTCAGGAGGAAATATTGGATGAAACTGATGAATATGTTAATATTCATAACAAGTAAGTAGATAACTTTGTCCTCTCCATCTAATCATATTTTTGGTCAGTTATCCGAAGCCTACTGTTTGATGGGATTGCCATGTTGCCTATTTAGCATGTTATCCACCATTGGATGGTACCGTGATCTATGAAAGCTGATGACAGAGTGAAATGTTGCCAGGATAAAAGTGAACATGCAGGCTTCCAAGGAAAAGGCCCCTGATGCAAACATAATGCAGCCTTCTGTAAAGGGATCATCAACGTCATCAACTTCGAGCTCTGCAGGCATGACTGCTGATTCTCTAGCAATTTCAGGACGCACTCCAGCTACTTCCTTTTCTGCTGCCACTTCTGCAACAGGCTCGGCTCATTGAGCCAGTTCAAGAGTGCATGCATAAAGAATGAACTGTGAAAAGGGCAGAGCAGGAGATTGTTACTCATGAATGATATAATGAATCATGTTAGGATATACGAAGAAGGAATCGTATAAGATGTACTTAGGTGTTGTGTATAGGTTGGAAAATTAAATATAATGTGTGTGGGTAGATCCTGCAAGGGAGTTTGGTGTTCATATTTATTTCCTTCCATGAACGGATGAAACGGCCGAAAAGTGAGTATATTGTTTCTGCCAGACATTAATTTAAGATAATTAAAATCTAAACCTTTTAAAATCCATAAGATATGTGCAATTTTCTCTTATTTGGGCAATGCTCCAGTTGTCCTTTTTTTCATATATAGGACAGAAGACAGTACTAAAAACTAAAAGCTAAAATAAAACAAGCAAGTCCTATTTCCTAGTAACTGGAAGAATAATTAAGGTCCAGAACAGCTGGGACAACATAGCCCGGTCTCTCTAGGTTGATGGCTTCCAAGCGACAAATTATTTGTCCTCATCTTGTTATGTAATGCATTGTATAGTGTACTGTCTTAAGAAATTTATTGTTATATAATGTAATGTATATACGAACTTTGATTTTAAATGTAAAATTTAATTTATAGTGTAATTTAATCCTAAATATAAGATATAGTTTGTAATGCATTTTGTATTATAGACTAAATTATATACTTCTCCGGTCTTAAATATAATATCCTTTTTATAGTGTAAGTTACAGTATAAAAAAGGTATTAAATTTAGGACTGGAGGAATATTTAGAACTAGAGGTAATATTTTAAAATGGAATAAAATAGATTATAGCATTGAATTTTTTTGATTATCGTTAGAAATGTAATTTTCTGTTTCTGGGTACTCGCTCAAGTTTCCAGCCACTGAAAACGGAGTTTTGAAGGACATTGGAAAGTAACAATTCCTTTCCAGAGGAAAATGAGCAGGACATTGAGCTTAAACATTTTTTATGCTTAGCAGAGGGGTTATTATTATTATTAATATAGCAGCCATATAGACCCGAATGCAAATATTAAAATTAGATAATTGTTAAATATTTTTATTAATGAATTTCACTAGGAAATCATATGATATATTGAGTAATAAATCTAATAAATTCCTACGTAAAATTCTTTATTCATGATATTTTGTTCATGAAATTGGCAGAAAAATATAAAAACCGTCACCTTTTTCCAAACAAATCAACCCAGAATGAGCGATGCCAGTCCGCGCGAAACAAGTGCCTTTAACTGTTTAACATATGTACTCATCATTTTTCAGTAAGATTGCCTCTTCATGAAAAAAAGTAAAAATGAAAATGGAGGGGACCTTCCTTAGACAGTTGATAACACGGACTTCTACAAGAAAGATACTGACTCCTGCAAGACTTTGCATCTTCCTTCAAAGGATCCAGGCAGGCTCCCACGAAGAGTGAGGACTATGATTTCCCAACATCTTTTCACGTTATAGAATCCTTTCTTTCCTTTTCCTTCTACTTCAGGATTTTTAATACTCCGTTATCAGCTATCCTAAAAAGTTGTTTCGCTTCTTTCGTGTTCTCTTTTTCTTTCTGTCCCTCTCTGAAAATAGACGTTTCTCCTGCCGATGGGAACAAACCCTGTTGAATCTCATCTTAGCTCTCTCATTCACCCAGCTTGGTGCCCAATCTTTTGTTTTCTATGTCCAATATAAGTGGTTTCTATATTTTGGTGCTCTCTGTATTAGCCTCTTTTGGGTGGAATCTTGTGGATCTCGTTTCTCCAATGGGTTCTGCTTAGTTTGTCGGAGTATTGCAGTGCTCATTTGCATTTCTTATATGTTTTCTTGTTCGATTTGTATCAATTAGAGTTGCTTCAAACATCTGGTACTGTGGTAGATTGCATAGATGGCTATAGCTCGTATAGTTCGCCAAGGCAAACGCCCTTATGGGTTATGTGTAAAAATGACGGCTGTGACCATGTTGGGCCTTTGTTTTATCTTTGTGTGGTCAGTTTTTACTTCTCCCTCCTCCTCCGTAACCACTCAAAGGGAAAGCTTTGACGACATTGCTGAGCCCGTGTCTGCTAACATGAGGGAAAAGAATTCTGGGGTTCAAACAAAGAAGATAAAACCAGAAAAGCGGGAATCGTTGGGAGATGAATTTCAGGGAGACGAGAAGAATAGGAAAAAGCTGAATGAATCAGCTTCGGTGTCTATTAAACACCGAGAACCTAAGCAAAGAAACAGGAAGGCGGGGACACATAACCAGAAAAAGGAGCATAAGGAAATTAAAGAGAGCCAGAGTCAAGAGTCTGGGGATTCTGATGGTGCAGAATCAGAGGAGGACAAGGAAGAAGAGGGGGATGGTCATGAAATAGAAGGTGAAGAACAAGGATTAGATCGGGAAAGTGAAATGGATGTGGATACAGATGGTGGCACCGAGTTAGCTGAGTCGGCGGATCAGGACTCTGAGGCGATGGAGGATGGAAGTGTGGAGTCAAAAAAACCAACCAAGAGGAAGATTAAAGGACCGTTGTTTAATCCAAAAGCCACTTATAAATGGAAATTATGCAGCACTAGAAGCAAGCATAACTACCTTCCATGTATAGATATTGAAGGTAGTTCTGGAAAGCTACAGAGCTATCGCCATACAGAGAGGAGTTGTCCAAGAACGCCACTAATGTGTTTGGTTCCTCTTCCTCATGAAGGATATGGCTCTCCCGTCCCATGGCCTGAGAGCAAGTCGAAGGTATATGAAAAACTGAAAATGGTTAATGTTGATGGATAAAAATTCTTCTTATCTTTAATCATATCTCATGATAAAATTTTGTCAGTGCAGATATTGTACAAGAATGTGGCACACCCAAAGTTAGCGGCATACATCAAAAAACATAATTGGCTGGTGGAGTCAGGAGAATATCTTACATTTCCACAAAACCAGTCTGAATTTAAGGGCGGGATTCTCCATTATCTTGAGTCCATTGAAGAGGTAAGTTTCCTATCATGCTGCCCCTTGGACCATCACCGAATGTTTAATACCTCGCTAAATGTTATAGATATGCAGCCCTATATATTACAATGCCGCATATATACATTTGTTGTGCCCAGTAAGACCACTGCAACCAACTGCCTTAATCTCCTTTGCAATTGATCTAACCATGACATTGAAAAACCGAAAAAAAATGTCATCCATGTATTGAAAAACAAAACAAAACAAAATGCAATTGATCTAACCATGACATCGAAAAACAAAACAATATATCATCCATGTACTGCTGCTGACAATCACATTGATAATGCATCTGTGCCACATTGACAATAAATTATTGAACAATTTATGGTCTTCTTTGGCTTTGCTAAAGCGACTGGTTGTAAATCTGGCTTTATTTGCAAGGCGGTGAATTGTTCTCTTCTTATTCTAGAACTGCATTTCAGTGATGATTTCAATGTTTCTTTACTAGTTAAGGTTCGTGCTTCCACTCTTGGTTATGGGTATCATGGTTGTCGACAATTTGGTTTCCTTTTTTTGGGGTATTTGATAGATGGTACCAGACATTGAGTGGGGGAAAAATGTTCGTGTTGTTCTGGACATTGGATGTACTGATCTGAGTTTCGGAGCTGCTCTCCTTGATAAGGAGGTTTTGACTTTAACACTGGGCTTAAAGGACGATCTGGTGGATCTAGCCCAGGTGGCTCTCGAGCGCGGTTTTCCTGCAGTGGTGAGCCCTTTTGGTAGAAGGAGGCTTCCTTTTCCCAGTAATGTCTTTGATGCGATACATTGCGGGGGTTGCGGCATACCTTGGCATTCCAGTGGTTTGTGTCTGATTTTTCTTTCTTGTACTTATTTGCAGAAAATCTTATATTTTTATGTATATCATAATTATAGCTGATTTTCTTTCCTCTATTTTAGGGGGTAGGCTTCTTATAGAGATGAATCGAATACTAAGGCCAGGGGGATACTTTTTTCTGTCAACTAAGCACGACAGTATTGAAGAGGAAGAAGGTCTGCCTCGTTCTATGGGCTTGCCTATGGGATTTTGAAAGTTCAAGTGTTTTTATTTTTTCTGCAAGGGCGGTTTCTAAGGCACTGTTATGTTCATATGATCTCTTAGAGAAGACCATCGCTTTGGTTCTCAGTATTTTCACAGTTTCCGAATTTTGACTGCTTAACTCTCTTAAGTTTATCTACTGAGCTACTTTGTTTTAATTTGCTTGCATTTGATCCTTCTGTACGCTGTCAAAATGTCTGATGGTCTAAAGCATTGTAGGATACAACAAAATGAAATTGAGATAGCGTGCATATTTTGAATAAGCTGGTGAATCTTGAGCTTTATTCCCACACGTCTTAATATCCCCTTATAGAACAAAGCTCAAGATTCACCAGCTTATGATCTGCAGCTTCTGATGTGATGCAATACTATATTCCCTGCTGATATTCTTTGTTGGATTGCAGTTCGCTTCTACTCTTCATATTTAGCAATAGGTCATGCGTCTTTGCATTGTAATGCATTTAAAAGTGACAGGGACTCTTGTGTATTCCAGGCTTGACAAAATTGATGGCATCTATTTGTTGGAATGTTCTGGCTCATAAAAGTGATGATGTCGGTGAAGTTGGTGTTAGAATATATCAGAAGCCTGAAGCAAATGACATATACGAATTAAGGAGGAAGAAGATCCCCCCACTTTGCAAAGAAAATGAAAATCCTGATGCAGCTTGGTATGCTGCCATAATGTTATTTTGCAGAATTGTTCTCCCAATAATTATAAATTAGCTTTTTAGTTTGTACGGTACATGCCTGAGCATTTTCAAACGGGAAAGGTTATTTACCTCTGGCCCTTGTTTATGCTGGAAACCTGTTTTGCTTCCGTCTACGGCTGTTTCCTTGTGATGTGATGTGAATGCTTGCTGTGTTGAGGAACTTGAACTTATAACATGTAGGACCTGATTATAATCAAACTTAAGCTTTTTTCTCACTGGAAATTTATGCACATTCGTCGGAACAGGTATGTTCGAATGAAGTCTTGTCTGCACTCAGTTCCGTCTGGGATTGAACAACATGGGGCAGAGTGGCCTGAGGAATGGCCCAAGAGGCTTGAATCTTATCCTGACTGGATGAACAATAAAGAGAAACTGGTCGCAGACACCAACCACTGGAAAGCTGTAGTTAACAAGTCATATCTCAATGGCATGGGCATTGACTGGTCGAGTATCAGGAATGTAATGGACACGAAAGCCGTCTATGGAGGGTAAGTCTATAAGCTTGCAGATAACATGGATGAGTTAGCAGTTGCACAAAAGATGGTTCTAGACACACACAAACACACACTTAAGCTCAGGCGATTTCTGATTTATTGGTAGAAATGGTTTGTGAAAATACAGATTTGCCGCAGCTCTCTCTCAACAGGAGGTGTGGGTAATGAATGTAGTCCCTGTTCACGCACCAGATACACTTCCGATCATCTTTGAACGTGGCTTTGTCGGCATCTATCATGATTGGTGCGAGTCATTTGGCACTTATCCAAGGACATATGATCTTTTGCACGCTGATCACTTGTTCTCACGCCTCAAGAACAGGTGTATAAAAGTGGACGTTTTCTCACAATCTTGTTTATGTCTTCTTCTCGAATTGCAAGTCTTTTGAGAGTTATCATTGTTGCTTAGGCTCGTTTGGCATGTTATTCTGCAGGTGTAAGCAGCCAGTATCCATTATTGTTGAGATGGACCGTATATTACGGCCTGGAGGTTGGATGATCATGCGTGACAAAGTTGAAATTCTAAATCCAATAGAGGATATATTAAGAAGCCTTCAGTGGAAGATCGTCATGACTTTCGCTCAAGACAAGGAAGGTATCATATGTGCCCAGAAATCTTCGTGGAGGCCTTGAATCTCTCTTCGTTTCTCCTTACAGTCATACCAGAGCAACAGCAAATGCAATTTTATGATATTGACGGCTTTTTGGTCCTTCACATTGTGTGAAAATTTTGACTTATTTTCTTTTTAATTCTTCCTTTTGGCTGTTATTTTATTTCCAGCCAGCAATGTATATTAGATGAGGACGAACAACTTTCTTTATCGAGTCTCAAAGTCACGAGCGACTTTTTTACTAAAAAGATTTTTTAACATGACCTAGTTCAGTTATAGTGTGGACAATGCAATAATTTTACTTATTCTATTTCAATTCGTGGTGAAGTGCGAGATTTCATCTGCAATATGGATTTTCGTCTCTACATATATACTATATATTTGGACAATTATATCATAATCATAAAACTAATAAAATAAAAAATGAGATGGTCGTGACTTGTGACTCCTGAGTTATTTGTGTTATTAAATTGATTATTGCATTATAAATATAATTAAGCATAAATTTGTAGATAACTCAAAAGTAACCTAAGTTTTCCTATTTACTTGCTGTAATAAAAAGGTACACACTCGTGCTGTTCACCAAAAAAAAAAAAAAAAGGTAAACACTCGTGCTATTTGTAATAAAATCACTAAAAATGCATAACAAATATACTCAAATTAATTAAGGGGGTATTTTACTATAATTAGTTTTTTAAATCTACTGAAATTAGTTAAGTAAATCTTATATTAAAGATCATAGATAGTACTCCTCCGGTCCTTAATATAGAACCCAATTTTTGAGTTGGTTTTGGTCCTAAATATAAGACCCATTTCTCATATTTATCAATTTTCTCTAAATTACCCCTATAGATATTCTCTCAATCATAATCAAGTAGAAGAGAGAGGGGGTATTAAAAAAGATGATTATGGTGTTTTAAGAAAAATGTGTCACTTTTCTTATAATTAACTAATTTACCTAACTTCCTTAATCTAATCAAATTAGTTAAATGGGTCTTATATTAAGGACCGGAGGAGTATTAAATTAAAAATTTATTTCATAAAAAAATTGTAAGCATCCCTATCCTATATCACTTTAAAAACCAGCATGTGATTAATTAACCCAGCTAATTATCTCTCAAGACCATGATATTGTTTGATTTAAATAATTACTTCCAGATCCAAGCCCAATGATACAGACTATTCTTCAGGGCTTAGCCCAATGCTTTGTGAAAAAGGCTTGCGATGAAGTTGCGTAAAGGCCCACATTTTGAAAACACTGTCATTCCAAGGCTCCCACTGTCGGCCCTCCCTCGTTTGCCCCCCAAAAAAAAAAACACAAATAAAAGAAAAGGGAGCCGCCGTTCCTCCTTTCTCCGCGATGTCTTCCCCCTGCGCGAGTCGCTCTTCACTGATATGAAAGTGCCGTCCTTTACTGGTGATCACACTTGGTTACTTTCTCTAGAACGAGTAGCACAAGAGAAGTAAATCATGCCGTTGTCTTCAGTCCCAGCTCGTCTTACACTTCTTGCACTTTTCTCTGCCACCACCTTCTATTTTCTGTACAAGTCTCGCCGCCTCAGACACCTGAAACTTCCTCTATATCATAAACCCACTCTTCCCAATGCCAGAGGGAAGATTCTCTTCGTTTCTCAAACAGGTACTTCCAAATCCCTTGCTCAGCGTCTTCACGAGCTGTTGGCGGCCAACGACCTCGCATTCGACCTCGTCGACCCCAAGGACTATGAACCTGAGGACCTTCCTAAAGAAACTCTTGTCCTTATCATAGCTTCAACATGGGAAGATGGAAAACCACCTGCAAGTGCCAAATTCTTTGCTACTTGGCTCGCTGAAAGTGCCAAGGATTTTAGGGTGGGCTCTTTGTTGCTTTCGGGGTGCAAATTTTCTATATTCGGCGTAGGGAGCCAAGCATATGGAGCCACTTTCAATGCTGTTGCAAGGGATTTGGCAGAGCAGATGAAGGCGTTGGGGGCGACAGAGATACTTCCCTTGTGTGAAGGAGATGTCGACGTAGGTGATATAGATGGGGTTTTTGATCTTTGGAGTGCAAAGGTGGTTAGGTTTTTGAAGGGCGCTGTTTTAGAAAATGGCGGGGTTTTTGAGTCCAATGTCAACGGGGAATGCAATGCCCAAAGCCTTGGGGATTCCGAAGAGGAGTCAGATGAAGAGAACGGTATGGAGTCGGAGATTGTTGATCTCGAGGACATTGCGGGTAAAGCTCCTTCGAGGAAGTCGGTGCCAGTAGTTGAAAATAATGGGAAATTCGATGGTAAAAGAGAAATGGTGACGCCAGTGATCAGAGCAAACTTACAAAAACAGGTATGTTTGTGTATACTGTGGCTTTGTATTTTGTTTCCAGAATCTTTTTCTCGGCAGTTGGCGCTTTCAAACTTCATTTCTGCTGACAAGTTGCATTTAATACTAATCAGCAACGTTCAATTGCCTTCAAGTATTCCTAAATGACGCTTACTCTTGTTTCCTGTGCTTTGACGTACGTTTCATTTATATAAGAAAGAAAGTAGTTGGTAAGCTAATGCGTATGGAATATAGTAGGCATTTGAAAACTGCACAAGAACATTTCTAAGTTGTGATCTTCGTCTATAGTCATTCGAATGCCTGCCGAGGAGATTTACTTATGTGCCAACTTCTGCGCAGTACAGGGAAACCCATGCTCAGGGATTAGGTCTGGTCGCGTCCTAGAATGATATTATAACGGGATACTGCTATTATTCTTACTAAATTATATTAGTGGATAAGAAGGGCAATCCTTGGGCCTCTGGTGTTTAGAAATTACATTGATATCTGTTTCTTTTACCACCCATTCATGTTTACTGTCTGTTCAACTTGCTGTGATATGATATCGGTTATTTTCCTTATTGGATTTCTACAAATAACATATATGCATTTCATAGTTCCTTCAACTGCTTGAATAATCATGGTTTACTATTGAAGATTTTGATAGCTGACAGCTTCTTTTCTTAATGGGCTTTCCCCAAACAAATATGAATGTGCAGGGATACAAAATCATTGGTTCACACAGTGGTGTTAAAATTTGTAGATGGACCAAGTCACAACTTCGAGGTCGAGGTGGTTGCTACAAGCACTCATTTTATGGCATAGAGAGTCATAGGTAACCATTATCCATTTTGATAACGATCTGTTTCCATGGCTTTTTTAAGGCTTGATACGTGTTTCACACCATCTTATAGATTGGGCGTTGGCTGATAATCATATATTGTTAAATCCATTAGCTTTGCTGCATGTCTGTGAGGAGTTTTATTTTTGTATTTGAGGGGAAGGCCTTCTGAATAATTCTTCAGCTGACATAGTTGTTTGATGAGTAGTAGCGTCTTTTCCTTTTTTTTCTAATTGGATTTTTGGGAATTAATCAGTGGAAGTGAGTTACGATAGCGTACATAAGTGATAGATGAATGTTCAGGAACCCTCTTGATGCAGTGGTGCATGATTTGTGATATTTTAGGCACTATGTTATTTTTATAATCCTTTTTTTAATAGCAAAAACAAGAAAAGGAGAGAGACACACAGTTGGCTGCTTTAGCTTTTTGACTTGACCATGGGTTTCAATGGAGTTTCTGCCATTGTCAAAGGATGAATACTTCGCATTTATGTTCTTTTAATGCACCTTCTGTTTGATGCATTGATCATTAATGTTGAGCTGCCAATTTAAATGTCAAATATTTGGATGATACAGGTGCATGGAGGCAACACCTAGTTTGGCATGTGCAAATAAATGTGTTTTCTGCTGGAGGCATCACACAAATCCAGTAGGGAAGAGTTGGCAGTGGAAGATGGATGATCCAATAGAAATTGTAAATTCTGCAATAGACCTACATACTAATATGATTAAGCAAATGAAAGGAGTCCCTGGTAAATTCCCTTTTTTCCTACCATTTTACAATATCAGGCTTCCCTCTGATCAATCTACATATGATAATGATGAAGCAGCCAATGTGGCTATTGATGATTGCACCCGTTATTAACCATCAACTTCTATATTACTATGGCAATATGAGCTTCTATACATTACCTGATGTTCTATCTAAGCACACTATAAGCCATAATAGGGCATTGGCATTTTCCATGGCTGATTAGTCTGATGTGAAATGCCTGGCTGATAGCTTTTTCCTTGGTGCTTCTTAAAGCCTGTTTGTTTAAGATTGGGGAAAAAAGTGTTTAGTTAAGCTAAACACGAGGAAGTTTTTGGGAGCATGAGGGAATTGTTGGGAAAAATTTGTTTGCAACTCATTCGATAAGCTATTTGGAATAGCCTAATAGCTTATCAAAATAAGTTGAAAATAGATTTTTTTTCCAACAAAACCTTCATGATCAGCTTAGGGGGTGTTTGGTAACCCTCAAAAATGCTTCTGAAAAGCACTTTTCCGCAAAATGAGACAAACTCTTTCATATATTTACTTCATAAACAGTAAAAGCACTTTTGAAACTATGATTTGGTTTCCATCCAAACACCCCTTAATGTTTCTCAACAGCTCCTTCGTGTTAAGGTTGACTAAAATCATTTTGTTTTAATCTTAAGTAAACCCAGCCCCCTGTGTGATTGATATTCTGATTCTGAAAATATGTTTACAGAGTGAACTATTGAGTTTTGTGTTGTCATAATTCCTAAAGTAGCTCCTAAAACATACTAAAATATAGTTGGCATTGAGTAGAAATGCATAACCCAGTAATGGTCCCAGTCCAACTGATGCAGATTGCTGAGAGCACTAGGCCTTCTACATCCCCACCCTTCAACTTGTTATTGCATGATTTAAATACAAAGTTGATTAATGCTTAACCAAGCATCTTTTCTTTAGGAGTCACCTTGGAGCGATTATCTGAAGGTCTCTCTCCTCGACATTGTGCATTATCACTTGTTGGAGAACCTATCATGTATCCAGAGATCAATTCACTTATAGATGAGCTTCATAGACGGCGGATTTCTACATTTCTAGTGACAAATGCACAGTTTCCAGAGAAGATTAAGTTTCTAAAGCCTGTCACCCAGGTTCCTGGGCTTTGATATCTTTCAAAATTTAAAATATGCTGTCTCTATTAGAGGCAAACTTAATTAATCTTTGTTTTGGCATTTTGCAGTTATATGTTAGTGTAGATGCTGCTACAAAGGATGCTTTGAAGGCAATAGATAGGCCACTTTTTGGAGATTTCTGGGAGCGATTCATGGTTAGTACTTTCTAACATTTATTGTGAAAGTACCCGCTACATATTAAGTGCAAATAGATTACTGTGACCATACTATTCAATTTATCTTTCACCTCCTGATGATTATCTTGTTTGAAAAACTGTGACAGGATTCCTTGACTGCTTTAAAGGAGAAAGAGCAGCGAACTGTTTATCGTTTGACCCTGGTTAAAGGTTGGAATACAGATGATGTGGATGCTTATTCTAAACTCTTTAGTATAGGAAAACCTGACTTTGTAGAAATTAAGGGAGTCACATATTGCGGCTCGTAAGTTCCTCCTATATCTCCATTTGTTCATCTAGCTTCTTGTATAGAGCATCGTTGCTGAATGGCAAATACTGAAATATTCACAGGTCTGCTACATCAAAATTGACTATGGAAAATGTTCCCTGGCATACTGATGTGAAAGCTTTCTCAGAGGCATTGGCTCTGAAAAGCCAAGGGGAGTATGAAGTTGCCTGTGAGCATGCTCACTCGTGTTGTGTCCTCTTGGCGAAAACTGAGAAATTCAAGATTGATGGCCAATGGTACACATGGATAGACTATGAGAAATTTCATGACCTGGTGAGTATGGTGGACTATATTCAGTTTGAACTATAGGTTTTTTTTCCCTCAATTAAAATTTTTTTTTCTCACTTACAATGCAGGTGGCTTCTGGAAGAAGTTTTAACAGCAGGGATTACATGGCTGCCACGCCACCCTGGGCTGTCTATGGAGCCGAGGAAGGTGGATTTGATCCTGGACAATTGAGATATAGGAAGGAGCGACATCATAAATCAAGCCGATGATCATTCAGGTCAGAGATACAAGAAACTTGGGCCAGCAACCTCTGTTCCCCACCCTTTTATCTTTTTATTTTTTAGAAGTTTCATTACCAAAGCATAACTCAGTTGCTTATACTAGAGGACGTCATCTTAATACATGGCTTTGCACTTGGGATTAACCATTGCAATGTAATTTATCCCATCCCACCTTTCTGGTTTTCCCCTATTCAAGGAAGTTGAAGGTAGCACTTCTTGTTTCCCAACTCTTCAACTACTCTAAAGATCACGACGGTGAACATTTAGTTGTAGAATTGGGAAGCGTGCCTTATCGCAAAGTTCCGTTTGGTTGGTGCAAGGCATGTGAATTCCTTAAAAATTGAGATGTATAGTATTTCATTATATTTCTTTTATCTTTATTCAACAATCAACAGTAACTTTCTTTCTTATGAAGAGGGAAAATAAATACTCTGATCACTGTTCAACAATGAACATCTCGGAGGCTGAGCTTTTCGCAACAACATTCATAGAAATGTTGGACATACTATTTACCGCCAGGGATTTATAGCAGATGGCTTAACCAACTAAAACTACATGAAGGGGTTCTGATCTACTTGTTATGAGTGAAATTTTGGTTATCTTAATTTTGTTTTGATAAGTGGCAAGGGCACTTCCAAATCTCCAAGGTGTTTGCGTCCCACTAATGGTAAATTTGTATCAGACTAATTTTTATTGTGCATTGTGTATTGACCGTTCAAATTTTGTCTTATCATCCCTTACTCGTGTGATGATACCGGGAACGTTGGCATGTAATTGGTGTATCTTCCAGGAAGTTGCTTTATTCTCCGTCCAGGCGATGAACGTGGTTGCTTATTCATGCTCCCTTATTTGCAATGGATTGTCTGATTTCCCATTATGCTGAAACATAATTTCACAGCGCGCTAACTATGCTGTGGCTATTTATACTTGCTACTTGCTAGATCCTTCCATATTCATTCATTCGCCAACCCGCTTTTTAGCAGAACGACAAACTTTGGACCACCATGGAGAGACCGCCTATTTCTATTTCTTTACTCCCCTAACTGATTAACGCTTCAACCATAGTTTACTTTTACAGTTGCGGCTTTTTTCAACCCCAGTTTTCTTTTATAGTTGCAGATTTTTTTTAATCATTCGAAGTAAAGATCATGATTTTGGAAGGAGGCAAGATAATGAGGATTTGAAGTTATGAAGAAGGACTTTAGAGTTGAAAGGTTTTCGCTTGAGTAGGAACAAAACAGAATATATGCATTGTAATTTTTGGAGGAGGCAATGCAATGGGGATTTGGAGGTAAAGATGGGGGATCAAATCATTCCTCAAGTATCTAAGTTTAAATACCTAGGATCTATTATATATGAGGATGGAAAAATTGATGGAGACGTTTTTTATAGAATACAAACTGGTTGGTTAAAATGGAGGAAGACTACTGGAGTTATTTGCGATAAGAAGTTACCTGAGAGGCTTAAGAGAAAATTTTATTGGACTGCTATAAGACCAGCTATGTTATACAATAGTGAATGTTGGGCAATAAAGAGAAAACAAGAGCACAAAGTTGGGCTAGTAGAAATGAGAATGTTGAGATAGATGTGTAGTTATACAAGAAAAGATAAGATTTGAAATGAAAATATCAGAGCAAGAGTCGGTGTGACATCTATCCAAGAGAAAATGATTAAAAATCGCTTAAGATGGTTTGGACATATGCAGAGAAGACCATTGGAGGCTTCGGTGAGGAGGGTAGATCAGACAATATGGAGTCCCATAGAAAGGGATAGAGGAAGACTGAGAAGAACACTTAATAAGATCATTGAACAAGACCTTCTGATCAACAACATATCTAAGAACTGGGTTATTGACAGAGTACGATGACGTCGTGTAATTCATGTAGCCGACCCCACTTAATGGGATAAGACTTGTTGTTGTTATTGAAGTAAACATCATAATTATCATCCAGGAAACCAGTAAATGATGATCATATTCAGCAGGTCATTGAGATTTTTTTGTTTTATTTTCAGAAATGAAACTTGAAGTATTAACATGTCTAACCGAATGAAAATTTCATCGTTCACTGGAGAGGCATCAATCGGAGAAAGTATCTGCTATTTGTTTGTTAGTATATGAAAACTGAAATGCAGGAGGGAGGTCTGTTTTTAGGAAAACGGGAAAGGTGAAGAATAAGATAGGAGGCAGGGACAGCCTTATAATGGGAGGCCTGCAGCCCTGTAGCCTATATAAGATTATTATAAGCAGTTAGGGCCTGTTTGGGTATCCCCAAACCGTGGTTTCAGAAGCACTTTTCCGCAAAACGAGATAATCTCCTCCACATATTTACTTCGTAATTCGTAAAAGTACTTCTGAAACCATGGTTTGGATTCTATCCAAACACACCCTTAGTGTGTGGAGGATCCTGAGATATACCCAAAAACTCAGAAATAATGGGGCAACTTGTCCACACAATCAAGCTCGGGTCCGCTGCTGACCCACCGGCTAAAGCGCGTGTTTCTAGCGCGTCAGGGAGGACCCACCTCCCACCCGGCAAAGCTGATTTTACTCCTCTCGCCAAAAAAAAAAAAAATGGCTGATTTCACTCCATTCAGATATCAGAACCACTATCGTCCTTCTCACTGTTATGGCATCTAACATCGGATTTGGATTGAGATGCCCAATTGAACTTGAATTGAATCTTGTATTGTTAAACCTCAAGAGAGGGTTATATTATAATTTTGCTTTTTAAAAAATACTCATAAATAAAAACCTTTATTTCAACATCACTAAATCGTAAATATGTAGTTAGTATCTGGCAAAAAAATATAATAGTTAACATTTTTCAATTGAAATGCAGTTGAGAAAGATTAATTAAAAGGATCCGAATTCGGATAATATGATTTCAATTTTATTCTCATTAGTTGTTTCCGCCGCAAAGGTTTTCTCCAGTAAACTTCAGTCATTTCATTCTTTCTGGCGATTTATTCCCCAAACAAAGTTTATTTTATTTTATTTTCATTTTAAAAAATAAAATTACCACCCATCGCTCCAATCAGTTCCCAAATTCTTTTAATTAACATTTGACTTTTCCAACGCATACATAACTTTTTAGTACTTGTATGACCCGCAAGGTTAAAAGCACTTCAGTTCTCTTCAATTTGTATTTCTCTTTCTGTTTACTTCGCTTCTGCAGTAATTTTAAAGGATAAAACAATTTTTTATCTTTAAATTTGTCTTCATTTAAGTGTTGATCTCATCAAATTTTAAATCATATATTTTAGTCTCTTAAGTTTCTTTCTATTTAAAATATTAATCTCTCTAATTCAGTAAAAACCTAGACCGATTTATCTCTTAAAGGACTAAAATTAAAATGAGAACAGATTTGAGAAACTAAAATTTATATTAACCCAATTTTAAATTACTCAAATCAAATTTTAATGATGTAAATTACCATGTGTAATTTTATAAATTACTTGATTAAAACTATTAAAATTCAATTCAACAGTTCACGGGTAAATCTCAGAAGTGATACGGGCCTTTGAAGTTAGATGGGGTAATGATTTTTGTCGCATGTAGCTTTTAAAACCAACTTATAACAACGGCACATATACAAGTTGAGGGAAAGGGGAAAAATAATACTACTTGTGCATGGACGCAATTGCTTTGAGCATAGGTGATATAATGCTCTTTGACTTGTGTTTTCGACCTCTTTTTTTAAAACGGTAGCCCTTATCACAGGTTTGATACTACCTCTGATTTTTTTTTAACATAAGACCTAGTTTAATTTTTATTTTGATTTTAAATATAAGATTTTAATCTATTTTGTTTTTCATATTTATTTATTTTTTTAATATAATCTTTTTAATAATGGTAGTTCTAACCTATAAATTTGAATAGCAAAAATATTTTAAGAAAAATAACACCAATTTATTACAAATAACTCGAATTTATTTTCTTAATATACTAAAATTAGTTAACTAGATCTTATATTTAAAACTAGAAGTAATACATTAAATTTCTTAAAACCTATACAAGTTATATAAAATTAATACCTTAATTATCTCTCTGATTTTAATAAGATGGTTAACAGAGCATACGTTACCAATAACAAATTGAGGGGAAAAAAAGCCGGTGTGTAACTCTGACGGGGCGATTACGATCATACGTAAAACACGGGAAGCATCCCCCCAGGCGAAAGATGGCCATGATGAGTAGATAAAGACCGTCCCTCGTCAACCCGCCCACCAAGTACGTGGACTTCACCTTCCACGTCAGGCTCCCTAGGTGGAAGAATCGGCAACATTGATTGGTCCGGTGAGGCGGCTACCACGTTCGGGAGTGAGCGTGGACTTCAACCGCCTTGATCCTTCACCCCGCCCACAAGACAATTTTTTCCAGATTCATACCTACTGGCATCAACCCACCCAAATATCATCCCTATCTTCTTCTTCTTCGGATTACCCACGGTGTTTTATTTTCCCCCCCTTTTATTTTCTTCTATCACAGTCTCATCTTCTCTGCAATGATTGAAATCACGAGGCGAAGGGGGGGGGGGAAGGAATTTTGTTCTTCAAAATAATTCTACAACCAGGAAGGGGGGACTAAACAGGAATAAAGAAATAATCCCTTTACCCCGTAACGTAACAATGGCAAGCAATCAAATTGAGAGGATTGCGATAGCAGAAAGTATGAAGACGATAACACAGCTGCTACTTTAAGCGGCAAATTAATACAAACCAGTAATCTTATCTTTCTTTCTGACCGCGTTCGGATAACGAATAATAGGATTAAACTCATGAGCTATCACGCACGCAAAGTGATTTCTTTTATACTTGCGCTTCCCGAAATTTATCATTTTTCCGCAATACCAATCGTTGAAAACCCAAGCCAAACCATGAAACACAATAATTGTTCCTTTTTCTTAATGAAAATAAGGAAAAGAAGAGAGGAGAAAAGGAGGAATGATTGTGAGTTGAGGTATTAACTGCTCTTTCTGGGTTTGCTTTTCCGCCTAGCTCTGCTTCTCGAAGGCTCGCCTTTTGGGTCCTTTGAGAACTGTGTGCATGCCGATGATCCCTCTTGTTGCTGCGCATGACGTTGTTGTTGTTCCTGTTCTTGACCTTGTTCTTCTCCCTCGATGGTTTTGCCTTTTTTCGATAAGCTTTCTGAAACTTCAGCCCCACCTCCTGCTTCTTCTGCTATGTCTTCTTTGCTTATTTCTGTTTTCTCAGTGATCTTACGAGGCCTTCCTCTTTTTCGAGGAGTATGAGGTTGATTTTGTTGCTGAGTCTGAGGCTGTTGGGTGTCATCTCCGGTTCCTGTCGATGAAGCTTCAGCTATTGCCACCGATAGTTCTTTCGTTTTTTGTGGCTTTTTCTTACCCATAATCATAAATTATTTCCCCCTTATCAACAACACAACCAAGCTTCGATATTTCTATCTCCCACTCGCTATTTCTGACCTCTAGATCATCAGTTTTCCAACATCATCAAAACCAAATCCGTAACACGCTATTCCCTCTATCGATTCCACAAAAATTAAGAGGAGAGAGAGAGAGAGCAAGAAAACGCGGCAATACAGAAGATATTTCTTTTTGGTAAACCCTCGGAGTCCTCTTTCCCTGCCCCGAGAAGCGAAAAGCAAGCAGACCAAAATCTTTGACCGGAGTCCAGGTTTAGGGAAGGACGCTATTAAAGCAGACCCCCCCCCCCCAAGTCTAAACAATATAGCAGAAAATGATATAATAAGCAACAAATAAAGGCTTTCAATATCACTCAAGCACAAATAGAATAAACAATTCCTAAAAGCTCAAAAGCTATCTTTCCTTTTCTTGGTGTCTGTTCATTCCACCTATTCCCATTCACGCATAACCCTTCATTTTCTCTCTTCCAATGCCTAGAGTTTAATAGGGCCAAAAAAAAATAAAGAAGATTTAGGACAGAGACGTAGCTAACCTATGTAAAGGAGTGAGTGTCTGGATGATAGCGATTAGTGAGAGAGCAAAGTATTGAGGAGAAGCTCATGCTCTTTGACCACCACAACATATATATATATATATATATATATATATATATATAGAAGGAAAAGGAAAATAAACAGGCAGTGAGTATAGTGAGCGGTAACCATGGTTAGGGGTATGAGTAGTGGGGGCATGTGGGTATTTTAGGAGAAGGAAGGGGTAAGGTTTGGTGTATTGTTGCAGTCAGACTCAGACTCAGTCTGACCTTTTATGTCGCTTCCCTGGTTTCGCGTCTCCCTCTGCTTTCACCTTTAATTCATGGGGTCCCTCCTTACGGATCATAGAACTGCACCTCGCCCTGCTTCGTCCCCCTTGTATTATTTATAATTATTCACAACACAGTCATCATCATTTTGATCATTCCCACCCTTCTTCTCCTTTCATCCGTTCAAATCAATTAACTGGCTCTAACACAATACGGATTACTGCGAAGCTCGCCTTTTACTTTTCTGGGAATTCCGTGATTGGACCACACATGCCCTTCCTTCAATTCTGAATGCCCTGGAAATTTTTTCTGGTCATCATCTTCATATGCTCCAATTCGAAGAACCAGCAGTTACACAGCAGATCAGCATATGGTTTGGTATTTGCCGGGTGGGTCATTCCCCCCCCCCGGGGGCCCCTACCTATAGCTGTCCATTTCTTGTGTGCGCAATTAATAAACAATGCTGCGTGCTCTCTCACTGCCCGTGGGGCGACCATAGTTCATAATAATAATGATGATGATAATACCATTATTATTTAGTTAAGTAAATTCCTGCCATAGGGTCTTTGTTTTTCGAATAGTCGGTAGCAATATGGAAAAACTTTTCAATGCCAACTTGAATAGCACAAAGGACAGCGGGACATCACACTGGCGTGCCTAGTCTCTCTCTCCTGATTAAAAAGAAATAAAACAATTATTGACGCCAATTTTTTGTTTCAATTTCGAGCTCACCATTCTTGTTAATGGACGAGTTGCTTTTTAAGACTTGAGATAAAAGTTTCGTGACGGAGTTATGAACATAGATATATAGTATTATATGGTCATGAAATGAGGAGGAGGCAGAGGAAACGCAGGTTTTATTGGTTGCGCAGCAAAAGACAATATCTTGATGGAATAAGCGAAGGGGGGAAAGTTGGTCCGGCGGAGTGAGGGCCACTAAAATAAATTAGTCAATAATGATACGGCTTGGTTTGCCCCAGAAAGTTAAAAACACGACGCAATGATATTGTTTATGGGATCTAGCTAGAGTAAATTATTACGGAGACCCCGCAGAAAAGCCAGCCAACAGGACCCTCCGCTTCTGAACCTATAGTCCAAACTAACATGTCACTCCACATCTACGTGGAAATTGATGTTGACCATTATTTAAACTTAATAGGGAATGTGTTTAGCTGCAATCTTAAAAATAACTCTAATAATAAACCACCTTCTTCCTAAATTTTTCACCAGACTAATCATTAGTTTTTTTTTTCCGGTTATCTGAGGACAACTCTAATTATCAAAGGACTGTTCTGCTTCCATGAACACGCCACGCCAGTGACGCCACACCGCGAATTCGCACGCCTCCGTTCACCGTGTACCGTGTACCGTGTACTACAGTCTTCTTGAAATGTTTTTGACAAAAAGGAAATGGTACGTCTTTTCTGCCGCAAAATGAGCCAATTTATATACACTTCCATTAATTTGCATGTGGGAATTTTTCAGGGAGGAGTCAGGATTTGTGCAATGGACAAACATTTATTTGTTTTCAAATATCAGGAGTATTTAGAAGGTTTTTGAATGGAATCAAAATTATGGTTTTAAAAGTGTTTTTAGAGTGTATAAAGTAAATATATAAAAGAGTTTGTCTCGTTTTGAAGAAAAGTGCTTCTAAGAAGCATTTTTGGTTCTTCTAAACATCTCTTTAGACTAAAACCAAAACATGTATTTTAAAAAAAATAATTTCAGTATGCTAAATAAGTAAGTATATGAAAAAAGTTTTGTTTTAATTTCGTAAAAATATTTTTTAAAAGTTTTTTTGGAAGTAACCAAACACTTCCTAAACGGGCAATATATAACCACAAAGAGAGAAAGAAGGAAAAAATAAAACTAAATATTATTTCCAGTTTTTAATATAAAAGCCTTCCATTTAAATATAAGATTTCAATTTATTTTGTCTTTTATATTTTCTCAAAATATTCCTGTTGATTGTAAGGGATTTTTACCAATAAATAATTCTAATCATCTAATACACATGATTGGTTTAGAGAGTCTTAACATACAGTTGAGAAAAATAACCAATCTTAACTAATTTTATTAATATTCTCAAATTAATTATTTAGTTCTTATATTAAAGATCAGAAACAGTATAATTTTTATAAATAAAAATTTTGCATGAACTTACATAGATGAAACTGTAATGGACGGAAGGTGGTGTCTTGGTCGTAGAGAATATTATTTCTGATTCTAAATATAAGATTTTGTTTATAAACTATGAATAAGACTTTAATTTTAATTATAAGACCAGGCAGTAATACGTAGTAAGAGATGTACGCATGCTGACTGGCAAACAAAAGAAAGCCATGGAGAAGAGAGCATCCGCCGTCAGAGCTGGAGGGACAGGATATGATAATGGAGGATGTGCGGACGTAAGGTGGGTCCGATTTATCCTGGCCCTCAGATGCGAATCCCAGAAAATCTTGTACCGTCCGGAGGGGGTTTTGTATCCGGTGCGAAGGGAACACGATCCTCGGGTGATACCTTGGCCGGCTATTGGCTGACTATTGTTCAAAATCAAAGATATGGCCAACCACAGGTGGCCACGTACGGCACTCCGAACCATAGCCCAGCCCGGAGCATGAGGTACCGAGGAAGTACGCAACGTGGAGCATGGTCAAATATTATTGATGGAGGGACTAGGGAGTGAGCAATGACAAGGTGGGATCCATTCGGCCCAACTTCAATTATGATGTCTTTCGCTCCACGACAACCTTCGTGGGTTCGACGCACATCATTTAATTTGACAAATCCTTTGAGTTTCTACTCTCTACTCCCTTAAATCCTTTTATATCAGAATATTTAACACCCCACAAAAAAAAAAAAAATTAGAAGTGCCATCACGGCAACGAATCCCCCAAACAAGAAAATGCCGTATGCCATCATCCTCCCGTTTTTTGATAACATGATACTCTTCTTTTTGGTTTACTAAGTTCACAAGAATTTTCTCTTGTAAAAAAAAAGGGGAAAAAAAGAGTAATAATAGAATGCATTTTTTAAAATTAGTAAAAAGAATTTTACTATTTTTCCTCCCGGGCATTTTTCTTTCTGTAGTTTCCTCCCTCCAGACCAAGCCTCAAGCAGAACGATAATTAACTGAGAATCTTAGATTCGCTTCTCTCGATCAAATGGGCCAAGCCCACTCTTCCTCCACCCACCGCGCGGCAAGGATGCACCGTAGTTATTAAAACGAAAGTCGAACACGATGCGCCCCAGCTCACATTAAGAGCCACAATGTATGAAAAATTGTGAGTTGCTATGTATTGATCTCAAAATGTTCAGGATAAATGGGCTATAAAGACACAGTATACAGTGACATGCTGACATAATTTTCATCTTTTCTATTTATTGTTAATACTACCTCCGGTCCAAATTATAAGAACCAGTTGATTAATTTGAGGAGATTAATAAAATAAGTTGAATTAGTTATTTGTCCTAAATAGGTGTTATCTTTCCTAAAATATCCTTACTAATCAAATGTATTAACTAGAACTATAATTATTAGAAGGATTATCTTGGAAAAAATTGAGTAAATATGATAGACAAAATAGATTGAGGTCTTATATTTAGGATCAAAATAAAAGTCAAACAGGACTTTATATTAAAAACCGGAGGTAGTATTTCTTTTACACGCGGATGTAGCAGTAATTAGCAGCGATGTTGGCCTCTACACTGCATCGTTTATCTGAAGATGAAACGGTTAACATCGTTTTATTCTTTATAACATATCAGACTTCCCAGACAACTACTGGCTTATGACGATGACAGTTAGTGTATGTGGGGGGACAGATTGGTAATAGAAAGAAGAGCCACAGGTATTGCCATCAACAACGTCAGGGTTAAAAACTTGGTCGGATCTCATTTACATGTTCTTATCAATTATGTGAAAAGTGATGAGGACTGGCGCGTGTTGTTGCAGCCGAAGATTTACTCCAGCACGCACATCCCTTTCGGAGAAGAACACGTAACTGCAAGATGCGAGTGCTCTATGATAACATGACATTTTCAGGGCAGAAGCCCCATCTCCTTCACAAGTCTCATCGATGTGGCTCTCCATCCCGCTCTTTCATGTGCTCATATTTTTCAGAATTAAAAAAAAACTCACAAGAGGTATTCGGTGCATCTGACTAGTTTTCTTCATCAATATTGGTGGCCAAAAAAATCCTCCATAAGTATTAGAAATAAATGCAGTTGTAAACAAATACTACCTTCGATCCTTAATATAAGACCTTGTTTGACTTTTATATTGATCCCAAATATATAAAGTCACACTCCACTTTGTCTTTAATATTTATACATTTTTTTTTCAAGATAGTTCTTCTAACAATATGCCACTATCCCAGCCGCGAGTTGGATATCCGGTAATCAAAAGCGCTGAGCTCGCGAGTCTATAATCTGACTGAATATCTTTGTGGTTGGGAAAGAACGTGGAATCATAATCAAATGTTGTGGATCAACAACTCGCATGGTTAGAATTTGTTTGTGGACGTCCACCACTCTGACATTTGGCCGGTAGCATGACGTGTATTTAACTTTCTTTAAGCGCTGGTAAGAGGAACGGAAAATGCTTAAATAGTGCTTTCACGGAAAATAGTTGCACTGTTCAACTGCTCTTTTTTTTCTTCCCTTTCATGTTCTCTTCTTATTTAAACCTGCCGCAACCCCGACGTGAGTTTCTTTTGGCTGGGCTGTTTGTGGAGTACCGGTCTGTGTCCTTCTCTCTGTATCATCTCCCAATTAACAGTCCCTTGGGGGTGTTGTGTTTTGCTGGGAGGCCTATTTCGTCCTCGTATAATGAACTTTTTAATTATTTTGGGGGACAGGGTGCAAAAGGAAGCTTCTTTCTTGAGAAATAACTTCATTTGTATAGTTTTTCTCCCCACGTCATCTTATTCTGTATGGTTTTTGCTGAAAAAACTGTGCTTTTCCTGGAATTGCCGTTTCTCTTCCCCTCCCCTTCTCCCCTCCTTACTCCTATCCCCCACCCCCCTTCTGTAGTTTCTTTAGTGTCTTATTTTTGTTTATTTTTTTATTATCTTCCCGTTTCCTCAAGAGTCAAGACAAGCGTCCTGTTTTAAAACATAAGGATCTATTTCAACGCTGTATTACGAGTAAAACTGTGCTGTTGCATTGTAACATTTTTTTACTAGTACGGTAATAAGGTTTGGACTCATACTATTTCCTGTCCTTAATATAAGACCTTATTTGATTTTTAATTTGGTTCTAATTATAAGATCCCAATCCATTTTGTTTCACATATTTATGTGTTTTTTCTCAAGTTAGTCATTCTAATAATGTTAATTCTAACCAATATATTTGATTAGTAAGGATATTTTAGAAAAAAAAACACATTTATTACAAATAACTAACTTAACTTCTTTTCTTAATCTCCTTAAATTAGTCAACTAGCTTTTATAATTAGGACCGGAGGTGTGTCTATTTCATTTCTTATTTCAGGATTCACTGTTTCGATTGTCTAATTATCTAATTATCTGTTGATAGGGAAATAGTCTTTCATTGGCAGTCAAATGTGAATTTTGACGATTACAACGATGCTTTGAATCAATCTTAGGGGACTTCAGCCATTGTGTGCCTGAGATATGGAAGTTCCTTATGATGCTTCCAGCAACGGAGGTGCTAACGACAGAATTCAGATAATTAAATACTCTCCTTATAGACCCCGTGCCAATTTATCATCAGCTTGGTTTGATCTGAGAGTTTTTTATGTGAGAATTAGCAATTTTCGGGTGGATAGATCCACCCCCGAGTTTCTCACTCTCAATCATATCCCTCTAAACCCGGATACACTTATAATGTTAAATGGTGTAAGATGTAGCATGTACTCGGATGGGCTGTCTTCAGTTCTTAGAAGAGACCGGGTGGACAAAAAATCTAAAGAAACGACCTATGTGACCACAGATTGTATACGGTTGACAGGGAGCATGAAATTTGAGGTTTATGACAAAGAGGAACGTATTCTCTGGGGAATTTTGGAGATGTCCAATAGCAATGGTTTCACTGGGGAATCAAACTTCAACGCAAAGCAATGGAGCATGATTTGTGAAACAGAGATAACAGCTAATACTGGCTTCCTCAAGGGAAAAAATGTTACTAGCCCAGAGATAACTAGTCCAACCATTGAGGTCTACGTCGCTGGCTGCTTCTCAGGAACACCTATTATCTTAACTAAGACGCTGCAGCTCAATTTCCCCAAGAAGCAGGATAGGAGATGTTCATTGGACGCCATTCCAGAATATGAAACAACTGATTGCCAGAGAGATGTCTCTGATAGAGTCGATATGCAGGTAAAATGCTTGACAACTCTTGATATAAATAGCTGGAATTGTGATGTTCTAGCTTGATGTTCTGATGCTTGTATTGTTCCCTTGGACATCTTAAGTAACTTCCATTTCCTATAGATGTATTACTCCAATTTCGTCCTGTGACTTATTTAACTGTTTTGGCCCCTTGTTTCTTCCTATCCTGAAGCATTTTCTATGCTGACTTTCTCATCACTCTCTTTACATGCGCGAGCTCTAAGAGATGTATCAAATGGATCATGCTCTGAGGGCGGGAATTATGCTGCTGGTTATCTTTATAAGCGGCCTTTGGTTTATTTCAATGAATATCTTATTTGGATTTTCTTCCCCGGGATTTGAACTTTGAATGCTTCTCTTGATCAGGCACTGTAGGCCTACGCTGGTTTTAATGTTTGATAAAACTATCAAGTTTGACGGAAGATAGAATTAAATCTCATCATACGAGTGTCATCATGATGCTGAGGACCGAGTTTTAAGTTGTGGTCCTCATGGGGACTCCACTAGCTACTAAACTGACTCAATATTATGTGCCTCATATTTTCTAGTGCCCAATTTATGAGGCAATGCCCAGTGTGGACTTATAGCGTCAGCCTTTAACAACTTTGTTGGGAATGTGGTTCCAAGGGCGACCTTTATGCAAATTGGTTGTGCTTCCAGCCAAAGTGGGGTACCTCCTGTATCCTGATTTGGTTTCTTTTATCGATCTTTTTCTGAAAATGCATATTGAACTTGGGAGTATGGCAGTGACTGATTTCATTATGGAAAGGGAACTTATTTTTAATAATTACCTCGCATCCTTATGTTGTTCGGCTGAGTTTTGCAGCTGTCTTACATGAGGGTGCCCGTGTTTAACAGGGATCATTAATTAATTTTGTCTAGCAGCAGTCAATTTTGTGACCAATTTACGTTTTTGGTCGATGTAATTGGAGGATCCTTGACACCTTGTGGTTTCTTGGCAGTCCTATTTCGGTTTGTTCCTTTTTGTGAAAGTGGCAGAAGTTTTTTGTGACCAATTTACTTGCACTGTGGTAAGAGAATACTACTGATTATTCCTGTAATGTTTCTTGTTAGAACCATCTTACTTTTTTCCTTCATAGGTAGCTGATTTCAGAAGCTTCAAACGTGAAAATGAAGGTGATTACAACTGCATGTACTGGCAAGGAACAGGACATATAGATGGGGAAGATAGTGAGTTATCATGGTTCAACGCAGGCGTGCGAGTTGGTGTTGGAATCGGACTTGGCATCTGCCTAGGCGTTGGTGTAGGGTTTGGCTTGTTAGCACGCTCTTACAAAGCAACTGCCCGTATCATTCACAGGCGCCTCCTCTAGCCATTTGCTAACTGTCCTCCAAAAACTTGCTTGTTTTCCTGTTCATAAATAAATAATTGTTCTTCATTTTTTTCCGTCACAAGCCGCAAAGCAAGATGCTATGCTTCTTTTGATGGGTATTACGTTACAATAGATTATATGACTGATTTCGAAGTTTGACTAATTATTCGGTATTCTGGCGAAATGACACGGCAGCTTTTGCGGTTCAATACACATTGAGGTTAGAGACATACAAGTTATATTTGTATTGATAGTAACTAAATGAATTAAGTTCGATGGACCGCAGTTCCCCCCCCCCCCCCCGGGGGTTGGGACCATCAAATAAACTAACTTCTTCATTTGCGAGAAACAACTGTTTAGTAGAGGAAATCAGATAGACCGGTAACTTTCATCTCCACCGAAGTTTAGGCACTGGATTGGCCAGCACCAAGGTGGCTTGACTGGCTGTCATCAGTTCCCCAAAACGCCGCTTGACTGGCTTTCAAAACGCCGCGGATTTCAAATCATCCTGAGTCATTAATCTGGAGTATTCCTCGTGGTCATACTTCATTGAAGCCTTCCCCCCAAATTCTATGGGAAGATTTTCTTCATCAAAGTACGACTTCATGAGATCCACGCTTTCTTTCTCTTTGGGGTACACGAACTTGGCCTTCTCAATTGTCTTATTATCCAGGAAGTACTTGATTATCTGCATTAAAAAAATGACACCATGAAGAGAAGGATTGTAGCAATGTGGCCTGTGGGCATAGAACGCAAACATTGAAAGCGAACCTTCAAAAAGGCCTCAAACGCCCGAGGAGGGTTGTAAAGAAATGCTATGGCAAGCCTATCAGGATAGTGATTTTGCAGAATGCTAATAAACTCTCTTGATAATCTAATGGGCATGCTCTTGGTGAGTGACCATCCAGTGAAATCTATCAGCCACGCCATTTGATCTTGACCTTGCTGAAAGTTGAGCACCGCATTTTCCAGAAGGTACACATTGAACCGTATCATATTTTCAACTGAAGATATTTTCTGCAAAACCCACAACCACATTTAACTCTCGAGCAACTCAGTAGTTAAACTTTAAACTTAGAATGCAATAAAACCTGAATTGCAGTCCCAGCTCTCATTACGAGAACGGTCCTTCCCTGTCGGTCATGAAAACTTGCTCTGTACATAATCCCTCTCTCCCCTTCCTTTGCAACCTCATGCTGTCAAATCACAAAATACCTAAGGTTAAATTTACAGAGTAATCACTAACGAGCGTTGAACGGATCATACCCAGCGGATTTCCTCAGGCTTGTATGCTGATCTCCACTCCAGTGTGTGCTCCAACATCTTCTTGGCCTTCTTCACATTCCAATTGTTAACTTCCAGATAGCCCCTCAAACAACCGTCGGTGCAGTACTTTAGGCTGCGTCCGGATAAGGGCCCAATCGCAGCCTTGAGCTCCTCAATCTTCATCGACAAACAACAAACAAGGCATTACAGAACAGAAGAAAAACCAGAGGGAGTATGAAGATGACAGTTTAACAGCTTGTTACCTTCGATGCAGTGCAAACGCTGCTGCCTTCCCGGACGTGTTGACCGTTGTTCTGGGAATTGAACATGATGACTGAAATTTTCTTAAAAGGAAGGGTAACAAAACCAGTGAGAACTATTAAAAAGGAAGGGAAACCAAAAAAAAAAAAAAGGGAATTCGAGAGAAGGGATAAAAAAACAGAGAAGAGAAAACCGTAAACAAAAAGTAAAGCCGCAGAGAAGAGTTCAGACTAGAGAAGCCAGAAGAATGATAAATATACAGCGTCCAGAAGCTCAAGCATAGCAGGATATGGATTTAGAGTGACGAAGTAATAGAAATCCATAAGCATACAACTTACAGGAATCATAAAGAATGTATTGAAAAAACTACATTCTACTCAGCAGGATGTTACTTACTTTGAGTGAAAGAAGAGTCCTGTCCCGAGAGGGGGAAAATTGAAAAAGAGAAGAGACACGAGCTACTTATTGTCAAGAAGAAGAAAAAAATTACAGCCACTGATAATCAATAACAAAGACCAGAAGAAGAGTCTCTGGAAGAAGAGAGGCGGAGGGGAAGCGTAATATATCAAAGAAATAAAATGGACAAAGAATTAAAGGCCAATAAATTCCGCCGATCTCCACTCCATATTCGGTACCACTGAGGAAGTTGCTTATCCAGGGACTCTTTGCTATGCCTTGAAGGACAAAAATGTCTTATAGACACCACAATGCTGTGAATAGGTTTGCCGTGGCAAGTTTAACTTCTTAATTAAGGTGTTTTCATTTTTTCTTTCAAAAGGATGTCTTTACTTAGCGATGCGTATTACCTTACACGATGAAGATTTTTAAAAATATATTGAAACATCAGGAGGCAAGCAAATCAGCTTAAAAGTAGATGCGTATGAAAGTGGCGGTGATCATCCGGCTATCTCCTGTTGGTTTACATGTGATCCGTCCTACCTCCAACACAGTGAGATAAGAAGAGGAGGAAGGGCGTCATTAAATGTGTGTCACCAATCGCAGAAAGCTGGCGCGTGTCAAAGTGAAGTGAAGGACTATTCGAAGGCAACCCCACTTGGAACTCCGAGCCGAGAGTGGTGAGTGGTGAGCATTTAACTGCATACGCCCGTCAAGGTCCACCTTATGTGCAGCCACCCTAGAGAGTCATACCACATGTAAGTGTAGCCATCCATGATCCAGCTACGCGCCTACCTCACGATAAACACAAAGTAACATCAACTTGGATGACTCGTTGGCCCTATTTTCGTTGCGGACTTCTACCCTCTCCTATATCAAAGTAAAGTCTGTTCATGTGTATATATCACTGTTTTTTTAAGGCAAAATTAAAGTTTATCTTAAGATCCTTTTTTTTTTTTGGTCAAATATCTTAAGACTCAAAAAGCCCTTATATATAGTTGTGTTGACAGATCGCTCCCTCCTTGCATTAATAACCAGATTTGAACTTATATTTCAGTAAGATATGAGTGGCACCCTTGCCAACCATACAAGCTTTTGATTAGCATTATATTATAATAATATATTATTAAGTAAAATATTCTAAACTTTCTTCCATTTTATTCTTATTACATGGACCTTCCTTCCATTTTGAAAACACACAAAATTACACATAACTCTAATAAGAATATTCTAAAATGTTGTTTTTTTAATTAAAATTTATGTTAAAATAATTTTCATTTATTAATTTTTTATTTTTACAAATATTTATTTGTTTAATATTTTTATCATATTGGGACAGAAAATTAAATAATTTAGTTCATGTAAATATAAAAAATTGAATAAAAATTTGATTAATTCTTTAAATAAATATATAATCGATCAAATAAGTTATAAATGTTTGCAACAAAAGTTTTGAAAAAAATTTCAATTTTAAATTTCATTGATCTATAAAATGTCCCAAACTCACATAATTTATTTTATATGATAAAAATATGCATTTAAAATATTTTCTGGCCATTTAAAAGAAACCTAAATAAATAAGTTTTAATATATCATAAAGAATTAAAATTATATAATTCTATAATATAATAAAAATTAATAAATTGTATAACATATCAAAAGTTTCAAAATACATATATTATAATGTTTTTGTATCAAAAATTATTTTTTATAGATATAAATGTTTAGATAATGTTTATGTGATGTTTTGATAAAAGTAAAAGTATAAAAATCAAATTTAACGACAACCTAATAGTTGGATGAATAGAAATCAAATCTCAAACAAATAATAAAGATTGGGTTAAGGTACTTCTAACACCCTGAAATATTTTACTCAAATGCATCTAACAAAATACTTCAGCGTACTTGTCACACTTTGACTCATAAAAATTTGTATAACATACATTTTAATTTCAAAAGAGATTTATATTTTTTTTTTCAAAATAGATGAGAGGTTTATATAATTTAAATAAAATAGAAGAGTAGTCAATATATTTTACTCTATATTATTAAATTAGTATAAAATATGACACGGTCAAAGTAAGATTTATTTTCCTTTCTCCTCTCCGTTTTTTTTTTCCGGGGAGGGATTGAAATAGGATGATTTTACATTTAATTAGTGGGCTCTGTGCTTGAGGGGGGCACTTCCGGGCTGTCCGACGTGAAGGTTTTGTGCTTGCAGTAGCGTTATATATTACTCCTCTCTTTTTAAATATAAGACTCATTTTATAATATCTTAGATATAAAACTTATTTTACGATACAGTTTACATTATAAACATATTCATCTAGTTCTTAATATAAAACCTATTTAACTAGTTTGATTAGATTAAAGAAGTTAGATAAATTGATTAATTATGAAAAAAGTGACACATTTTTCCTAAAAGACCATAATCATCTTTCTTAATATCACGTCTCTGTCTTTTACTTGATTATGGTTGAGGAAGTATCCATAGGGGTAATTTAGAGAAAATTAATAAATAGGAGAAGTGAGATCTTATATTTAAAATCAAAACTAAATCAAAAATTGAATCCTATATTAAAAACTGGAGGAGTATCTTATATTTAAGATTAGAGGGAGTATCAAGCAGCATGAATAGTGCCGCATATCATGTGAAATTTGTAGCATGAGCTCTACTTTATATGGTTTGAGGGTAGCGTAGCGTGATAATTTTTTCACGAGAGACTATCATGCATTAATATTGTTAAATGGATCATGGCCTCTGCAGAATTCATAATTCTTGGTTTTCCAACGTAGGATATATGGCATCCAAATTCTGAAATAGCAAATCGTTGCGTTTTAGCCTATGGCAAATATAAACATTGCTTATCTCTATAGGCAAAGACCGCCATGCAACTAGTGGGAAAAACGGGTGTTTTTAAATACAAATTATCTACTAATAGTGAAGAAGAGAAATTTACGCAAATCATTTTAATAGTAATAATGTATCGAATATTTAATTACAAATATAATATTTATCTAGACATCACCTACAAATTAACATTATTTTTTTATTTATGACTTAAAGCTTGCGAGTTATATAAAAAAAAAAAACTTGATGGATATAAAGTCAATAACATGTCATGTTTTAATAGTCAGATATTGGGATACTGAACGATATAAAATTTTTAAAACTAACAAAAAGATTTTTAAAAAAGTTTCATAATAAGTAATACTACCTTCTATTTTTAATATAAGAGCTAATTAACTAAGTAGATTAGAAAAATTAGTTAAATTAGTTATTTGTAATAAATATGTTATCTTTCATAAAATGTCATTACTAATTATTTATATTAAGTAAAACTATCATTTGATAAAACATTTAATATATGCAATTGCTATAAAAACCACTTTAAACAAAATGAATAGATATAAGAGATAAAATGAATTAAAATACTATATTTAAAAATAAATTAAATGTCAAATCAATTTTTATATGAAGTATGAGAGATAGTATGTGAGCAGATATTTAATTTGGACATTTTTGGTGGCTGGCTCAACTGCCCCAAAATTCTCATGATCTTGCATAAAAGATTTCATTTAAACTTGAACAAAACAAAAGAAAGTTATTGAATACTCTATCGAATTGTTATTGATATTTTAAATTCAATTCTAAATTTAAAATCTACTTTAGTTTACTTGGAACAAATCCCATTAAGTACATAAGTTGGAAACTCGGAATGCTTCTATGTTCAATTGGAATCGTATTATAACAGATTTTATGTTATTCGCTCAGATCCATTTCAACCCCAAAAACCCTTTAATTATAACATTATAAAAAAAATGATTAAACACAAATTTCGCCTGTATGATTAAACACAAGTTTCTATCCTGAGATGCAACCGTTTCCAGTATTACTTTCTTGGGTTAAAATCCACCTAACATTTCAAAATATCTTCTCAAATATATTTAGGACTTCAAAATATTTTTTGATATATCCAGTACTCTGAAATATTTTTTTTAAGTACATCAACACCTTAAAATATTTTTTAGTGTATCTAGAACCAGCATCTTAAAGTATATTTTTTGATGCTCCCAACACTTAAAAATATTTTTTGATACATCTAGAACCAAAACAACAAAAATATATTTTAAAATGTTAGATATACTATATAAAATACTATCTCCGGTCATAATTATAAGAGTCAATTAACTAATTTGAGGAGATTAAAAAAGTAAGTTAAGTTAGTTATTTGTCCTAAATAACTATTGTCTTTCCCAAAATATCCTTATTAATCAAGTGTATTAACTAAAATTATTATTGTTAGAAGAGTTATTTTGAAAATATATATATAAATATGAGAAATAAAATAAATTAGGATCTTATATTTAAAATTAAAATAAAAATTAAATAAGATTTTATATTTAAAGACCGGAGGTAGTACCTCAAGAGTAACGCAATGTTCTCCGATCACTTTCTTTCGTCATGACTTGCGAAAACCAAGGTGTGCAAATTTTACTTTCAAGAACCCGTGTGCGCGCGCATATCGACGATCATATTGTGACGTGTCGCGCATGTGGGATCTTGTCGCCCGATTTTTTTTCCTCAGAAAAACAGCTCAATAGGAAAAGTAATCACCAAAGATCTCCTCCCCCAATCCTCGTTACAAAACTCCTTCAAGAAGAATTTTTGGTCAAAACCCGCTGATAGTTTAGCATTTTTCTTTTTTCATATACGTGAATATTTAATAAAAGTAACAGTGATAGAGCATGGATTGATACGACGAAATTTAAAGCACTTAATGAGAATAATAATAATAATCACTTAAATTCTATAATATATTTAATAATTTTAACTGTTTTATTGATACATATGACAGAGTATAGATCAATATGATGAACTTTAAAGTACTTAATGAGAATAATAATAAAAATCACTTAAATTTTATGACATGGTATTTAATAATTTTAACTGTTTTTATTGTTGGGTGTTCTTATGATAAAAATTAGAATCCCTTAAAAGATTACGGGGAATAAAAACAAAACGTCCGAAGAGTTGGTACCTAGGATAATCAGACAGTGTGGCTAGGAGACCACACCATTGAAGAGGGGTAACGAAACACCGATTCTCAAATCCGAAGCCACTCCATAGCTCGTAGGCGCCGCTAAGCATTAAATACATGCAACACTCCATATGGATCGATGCCCAGTACAATAAATGGACAGCCACAGCCTCCTTAGATGCCTATTTCATAATATTCACATAATTAACTAGAAATATTGGACCAATAGAAACAGCCAACCGTTGGATGTGACGCAAAAGCCATCCTGCTTTATGCACCCATCAGTTCTATCAGCATCATGCCCGTTTTCTGGAACAATTTGGGCAAGAATCCAGAGTGTCGAATCCAGGTGGAATCGAACCACCATCCTCCCAAAACGTGGCCGTATTGGGCGCTCAAACCAATTTAGAGCTCATGGATCCATCAATAGAGCAAGTTATTAAAGCCAAACCCATTCAAACCAGCGAACAAGCAAAATTCATTCCTCCATATGGATTCTGCACACCTGCAAAATAAAACGCTCCGCGCTTCTGTTCACTCCATCCACCATTGTCTCGCCCAACTCGGGAGAATGAATCCTTGCTCGACCAACGGCATCTCCGCACATGACTCACAGCACCAGTCCATCCATCGCGTCTGACCAGATCAAACCAGACACATTAATTCGTCATTTCAATGAGTGGGGCGTCATAGGCCCACATGCAGGTCTTGCCGCCCAAAAGATTTATAGCATTCATCACTAATACCGCGTGTTGTATACTATAATGAATGGGTCTTCTTATACATTATATATACTATACGATACTAATAATATATTTATTTGTTGTACACCAAAAAAAAAACATAATTATTTGTTGTTACAATATCAGCCTAATTTTTTCGCACGGGCTTGAAAAACAACCACTACATAATATTAGAAGATAACAATTTTCAGGCAAAATTGAAATATATTCACTATTCACATCGGGAGAATGACAACAACAAAAAAATAATAATAACCACTAAATCCTAAATCAAGTTTAGCAACAAATTTCCAAATAAAATTTGTTGACATTACTTATTCGATATTTAGTAATTTCTAACTTTTTTTTTTGTCATTTTCCCATTTAAATATGTTTTAAAAAAAATCGCTCCTCATTTTCATCTCGCTCCAAATAAACCGCCCGGTCGGTTTATAGCAGAATCATCAACCCAGTGCCGAGAGCGAAACATCCAATCCATAAAATCGAAGTACAATTGAGAATCTTATTCGCCAATGCCGCCCCAAAAAGAAATTTACAAAACAATAGGCTAGCCATCTAAATAAGAAACATAGCATTAGCCATTGCCTCCGAAGTCATTAGGAACCAGGCTGACAGATCATACATGCACCGTAAAGCAAAAACACCAAAGAATCATTAGTAAAAACACAAATAAATTGACAAATATACCCCAGATACTGAAGTGCAACAAAGAAATTGAACGACGCACACCAAATTACAAGCCATGTCAGTCGAGGTGCTGTGAAGAAAAACAGTTAAACAATAAAAATCCATTCTCCAAAGCTCGTATCATTAGACTGACTATACCAATCCATTACTGGCAACAAACTAAATGAAGAAGAAATAAACTGCGTGAATACTTTCAGAAAAACAGAAAAAACTTAGCTCAACAGTAGTAGATCTACCTCAAGCTGGGAGAAATACTGGAAGCTCATATCTTGCCAAACTGCAGCTCCAAAAATGCATCTCTGCATACTTCGGAACTCTGCTGCTGACAAGAAGATCCACGCGAATGCAGATGGCGCATTGTCAATGCATCTAATTATTAGAGACAGGTAAACATCTTCCGGTTAACGAGGGCCAGCTATCCATACTCGAAACTAAATAATGAATGCTCACGTTAGGCTTACACCAGGTTACACAAAGACCCGTTAGGGCCTGCTAGACACAGATTCATCCCAATTACCACACACAAGAACAAGAGTGGACGCACAGCCAAGCCTTGAGGCCAACACACACAGAATGCCCCACCTTCTCTGCCTTCAAATCCCTCGCCATAGTTGTAATTATTAGGCAAATAGTATATACTGCCACAAAGAGCATCTAAGCAAACTACTGCTTACATTTTCGATACCCTACAACCACCACCACAAGAAGCCACAGCAAGCCTTATGGGGATTTTCAATATGCTAAAGAACATAAAATTCACAACTAGAGATATTAAATAAACTTACATGGTTGTGAACATCAATCTCAAGAACTTGAATAAAACTACAACTAAACGAAGCGTGTAAAAGAACTTGCCGAAACTAACAAACAATATCTTTAGCAGACAGTTGCTAAATACCGAGAAACATTAGGGAATGGCGTGCGTGATGATTTGCATGTTTGTTATGATGACGCTTTTACGACATGGTTATTTATTCAATAAAGGAAACATATGAAAACAACAGGCAATTGGAGAAAAATAGGGAGATGACGCTGAACATTGCTTGCTTGCTGAAATCAACGGCCACTAGTGTGAACTTCAGTATAATTCATCAATCAAACTGATGCGGTTAATAGAATATATTTGACAGATTGCATCATTCTCGTTGTGAATTCAGTCACCTACCTTATGCATACCTTGTGCAGGCTACACAATCACTCGTGTTTACACGATATAGAGTGTAACCTTAGCTTTAGTGTTTGAGCATCATGCCATAGGTCACGGGTGTGCGGAGTTAAATCCGAGGGCAATTGAAGGAACGTGGAAGAAAAGATAAAAGTAAAAGCAGAGAAGAGAGACGAGAAAAGAAAGGGGAGGAAAAAAAAAAAAAAGGGAGCAACACACGCCACCTGGGAGGAGAGCCGGGACGAATGAAAAATTGATCCCGAGTCGTCTCCCCCCAAAAACCAAAAGAGAATAATTCTATTAAGATGGGTGACCTGCCATGCAAGCGCACCTGCAATGGCAAAGGTCCAGTAACAAGGAAGAAAACAACAGAACAAATACCTTCTAGATGCATGCCTTACACACCTATCACACACACACGCCTCAGCAACCAAACCCTCCAAAGATCAGATCCAGAAGTTGGATGACATGTTATTATAATAATGGCCCATCGACAAAAAGTTGAATTATTAAGAACATTATGTATGAAACTTGAACCCTTTCGCGGCCAACAAACAGTGATGCAGCAAACGCGTTTACTGTTGAATTCCAAGCGCCACCGCCCCTGCTGTTCATTCATCATACCCATACATGACATCAAGATCCAATCCTCCATTAACCGCACAACCAGATCCTGCCAGTAATGAAAGGCAAATCTAAGAGAAAACATGCAAAAATACCAAACCTCACAAGCCTCGAACATCAAGATCAAAATTATAAAACACAGATCTAGCGTACCCTACTAGGCACGAGAGTGAGATCTCTGAACTAGTGCAGTCCAATTTCAACGTACCCACACAAGCACAGGCTCACAAGGCATGTTCCTCCTGACCGGCAGAATCTGTGTTCTAGACTCGAAACGCTCAAAAAAAGAGACTGCATCTGGAGATTAAAGATGAATTTTTTCATAGAAATTGGGATCTAACTGTTGCCAATTAACCCTTTCAGGCACGCGATCCACTTGTTCCCGGCGAGAGGGAAAGGCTACAGATCAGGCCCCAGGAGCAACCATCGCAGCTAGGGTGATCATTTTTATATGAGAATAGAATCCGATCAACGGCTGTGGGGGCAAGAAAAGAATCAACGGCTGTGACGTTTTCGTAGCAAGGAATGGGGGCGGTGGTTCAGGATATTATTTCTGATGCTAAACTTCTGATTTATAAGGATTGGGTAGTGCAAGTTTCCACTCTCACAGGGAAGAAAACCGAACTGCGTATTTCCTGACTGGATATGCTCATGCTTCTACCTTGTATTCCTGATCAAGTCCGACTTCTATGTCAGAGGCGGAAAACAATAAAGGAGTTCTAATGTACTCTTATCTTGTTTTGAGTAAGATATCCAGTTTTCATTCAAGAAGTGGGCTCTCGGCTCCATTTCCATTATATTTTTTAACCGTTGCCTCAATGCAGGGCCGCTTCAAATTTATTTTTTTATAAATTATTAGAAAATTATTATAAAATAAATTATCAATTTTAGGCTGCAGTAGTGAGAATAAAATAAAGTAAAAAAATTGTTTAGATCACAATTAAATAACTAAATTTAGTTTGTAGGATGATTAGAATTAGTATGATTTTTATTAAATAACTTTTTAATCATGATTTACCAAATACGAGATGGGTTTTGTCTCGGATAATGTAAAATATGACTATAAATAGCTTTAAGTGGCTTTTTTCAAGGAAAAATGACTTACAACTAAACATGCTCACATTTGCTCTCTAAAAGTTACTTTTATTCTCTTCAATCACTCAACCAAACATACTCTTAAAAAGTTTACATTTTGTCTAAAGAGTTTAAAACTGCAATAAAAGTTTAAAATGTATTTTATAAAATATTCAATCTGAATCTAGTGTTGATCGAATATTTTTGTTTTTTGGGTGGGAGGGGGGCGAAGGAGAAAGGATCAGAAGAAAAACTGAGATAAGCTTTACCCGAATTTTAAAGCTGCTGTTTCATTCCTATAAACAACCTCCATTGCCTCACTGGTTATCTTTTCCATACCTCATGGGGACTTTCCTAGACTATACCTGTTTAAAAATACCATGGCATGTGGATCTATTTATGCCTATAACTGAAGCTACAAAAATGGTTGAATCAATGACTTTTTATTTTGGACAGAGGGTTGAGTCAATATTAATATGTCAATAGATATATCTTATGGAAAGTCATACAATTACATGCACATTTACTTGGGGATGTGCGCGTAGACGAAGGGACAAATGAAGTCCATTTTCCATGAAAATGGGATAGTTGTTTCGTGCCTTGCGTTGTTTCATTTATTCAGGAAACGCCATTTACTGACCCGAAGGAAAGAGTATGACTTCCAACAATTGGCTGGAAAATAGATTCCTTCCCCTTCTTTTAGTTTTACTTTGTCTTTACTTTACCTCATTTTTTTACTTCCTATTCTTTTCCATCAAGCTCAATTCCTTTAAAGAGCTGAAGCCTTGGTCCTCGAAGCAAAATAATATTCCACAACGATCCCACGGTCCCCTGAAGGCCTTTCAAAAGTGCTTTGCTCATAACATCGACAAAAGCTTTTTAAATTTCTGCCCCCGCATTTCATAGAGGAGACTATCCTTTTCTTAACATGAAAGCATTCGAGTATACGTGAAAAGTTAGCCAAGGATTAGGGAAATGTGTAAATTAAAGGTGAAAAGGCATATAAGTTATACAACATGGCCTGTGCACATGATAGAATGAAAAACTTACATAGTCAAAATAGTTCACGCGCATGTACGTAGTAAGTAGTATTATTATTAACATGCACTACAACAATAGTGTAATCAAACATCTGATATTGACCTGCTTACAAATTGCACGGCAATCAAAGCTCTCTTTTCTCCTGCTTCCCTTCTGTTTCCTTTTTCTTGACGTCAGATTAGGAACGACGAATATGGAGCTTGAAGACATGCTCCTCATATAGCCTTTTTCTTATTTTTCTTTTGTACTATAAAAGGCCATACGATCTTAAATGTTAAACACGAGACTACTCAAGGTAATTCCTTTTGAGATATTCTTATAACTACAGCAATCATAACCGTCACAAAAAAGGACTGCAACATAATTTTCAATTACTATCAATTTTTATTTTGTTTGCTATTTGGAGAAACGAAACGTAGAAAAGAAAATCATCTTATGGCCCTTTGCCAACATCAAGCAGCCCATTCTCTTAGGCCAAGCTTTGGGTTTACTGGATTCGCTTTCATATATAAGCTATCGCTATCCTCCTTATGTATAAATTCCTTTGTATCTCCTAGCCACTCTCCCAAAAGCAAAAGCAGGATACTCTTCTGCCATGGCACTTTTCTTCCTGTACTCTCCTACCTTTGCATTTCTCGCCCTCTTTCAGGCGTTTAACCTTGTATGTAAGTTTCTACCAGTCTTCTCACCTCTTGGTATTTATAATATCATTTCAGAATTTCTAATTTTTATCCCTTTATGCACGACTCACAATGGTATTCAAGTTTGCGTCTTTCTGGGATTTTTGTTATGGTCCTTTACAGGTCTGGCATCTGACATGAAAGTTTTTCGTCATTGAATTTGTTTTCAAAATTTCAATCTCAGCATTCAATCTTCTCTTGTTTATCTTTGTTGTTCTTTTTTCCTCCCCCGTCATGAAAGAAAAGCAAAGACTTGTCTTTAATCTTGATGGTCACTTTTACCTTTTATACATAACTGAATTTGTCTTTCTTTGCAGATTGCCAATCTTATATTGGTGTCAACTATGGGCAGGTCGCCAATAATCTTCCCCCACCTTCAGCTACTGCCAAGCTTCTTCAATCCACCTTCATAGAGAAGGTCCGATTGTACGGATCAGATCCTGCCATAATCAAAGCCCTCGCCAACACCGGTATAGGAATTGTCATTGGAGCAGCAAATGGTGACATACCTGCTCTTGCTTCTGATCCCAACTTCGCAAAAGACTGGATTAACTCCAACGTGATCCCGTTTTACCCTGCTAGCAATATCATCCTCATCACGGTAGGGAACGAGGTCATGACCTCTAAAGACCATAATTTGATCAATCAATTGCTACCGGCAATGCAAAATCTCCACAATGCCCTAAACGCCGCATCTCTGGGCGGAAAGATTAAGGTCTCCACCGTACACTCCATGGCGGTGCTGAGACAATCCGAACCTCCATCCTCCGGACGGTTCCACCCGAGCATGATGAACGTCTTAAAGGGATTGCTTAGGTTTAACAATGACACCAATTCGCCCTTTGCAATCAATCCTTACCCATACTTTGCATACAAAAGCGATCCGAATAGGCCTGAGAACTTAGCGTTTTGTCTCTTTCAACCAAACTCAGGCCGGTTTGATTCAAACACAAAAATCAAGTACGTGAACATGTTCGACGCTCAGGTTGATGCGGTTCGTTCTGCTTTGAACTTTGTGGGGTTTAAGGACGTGGAGATCGTGGTTGCCGAGACTGGCTGGCCTTACAAAGGAGACAATAATGAGGTTGGTCCAAGTCTTGAGAATGCCAAGGCTTATAACGGTAACTTGATTGCTCACCTTCGTTCCAAGATTGGGACGCCATTAATGCCAGGGAAATCAGTGGACACGTACATCTTTGCGCTTTATGACGAGGACTTAAAGCCTGGGCCAACTTCTGAACGCGCCTTTGGGCTTTTTAAACCTGATCTGACCATGACCTACGACGTTGGACTTATCAAGCACAATAACCAGGTAACATTCTGCTCCTTTCGTAGCGGGGAAAAAAAGACAAAACCCTGAAAAGGAACTAAATAGTCCTAAAAGATGACATTAACGATATGCTTTTTGAATGAAGGTTCCTAATAATACAAAGAAATATGCATGGTGTGTGCCAAAACCAGGCGCATCTGACGCCCAGCTTCAAGCAAATTTGGATTATGCTTGTGGACATGGGATTGATTGTAGCCCAATCCAATATGGTGGGCCTTGTTTTGAGCCCAACACAGTGATATCACACGCGGCATATGCCATGAACCTCTATTACCAAACTTCGGGTCGCTATCCTTGGAATTGTGATTTCTCCCACACGGCCATGTTGTCATCCAGTAACCCTAGTAAGTTGGATCCAACTAGTCTAATTTATGCGCCGTAATTTTCTATAGCTTGTTGCCCGAATTAATCACCATTTATCCCTGGCTATGTGTGTTTTGTAGGTTATAATAATTGCGTTTATCCAGGGGGAGGCATCTAAAAATGAGGTTTCCTTGCTTTTGTGATTTGAGAATGAAGGGGGTGTTGTGAAAATAAAAGTAAAAAGCATTTAATAAGAGAAAAAATTGCAGGAGAGGTGTAGATAATTGGAGATGAGAGCAGTGGAAGAAAAGATTACCATTCATTTTTAAAGTCTTATCATAATAAATGTAAAGCAGCGGAATATAAGGAAAATATAAATTTTGTGAGCGTATGTCCTCGCAAATATTATACTACTAGGTGGCCCCTTTTAACTACTCCTAATTGATGGACGAGAAATTGTTTAGCGTCTGCTAGTGGAAGCGGAATATAGACGCGTGGATGTGTGCAGGGAGAATCTTCCTCTTTTGGCGTTGTTCTTTTTCATTTATTGCCTCGCAGTAAATTAATGTTTTCTTTCATATATCAAGTTTGACCCATACCTGCGATCGTCTTCATGCCACGCTTCACAACTGATATATGTGTTGCTTAAGCTTTGCCAGTAAATCATGAGTCAATTCAGGGGCAGAGGCACGTCTTCAACCCAAATGAGTACTCCTTCCGTCATCCCATCCACAATTACACCCACACACATATTTAGTATATGTAAATGCAACACTTCTACTTTAAATATGTCCCGCACGTCATCGTTTAAAATTTATACATTACATATGATGTTTTTTTTAATAAAATCCGAAGGTCTGTCTAATACTACCTCTGGTTCTTAATATAAGATATTGTTTGATTTTTATTTGGGTCTTAAATATAAAATCCTAATCCACTTTGTCTCTCATATTTATATTTTTTTTTTCAAGGTAATCCTTCTAACAATAGTAGTTCTAAC